ACTGTGTCTGAAAGTGTCATCCACATATCTCCACCATATTTTTGGAGTAGGATCAACGTATTAAGTGTCATATTTTCCCACCTATCCATAAATATATCTGCTACGAAAAGGGATATTGGTGATCCCATTGCTACACCTTCAGTATGTCTATATATTTTGCTTTGGAATTTAAAGATAGTAGATGTGAGGCACAACTGAATTCCTAAAATAATTTCATCAATGGGTAGTTTCGTCCTATGAGTGAGTTCAGGGTCTGCAGTTAATTCTTTTTTAACTGCTTCTAAGGCCATATTTATTGGTATGTTAGTATAAGGACTGGTTATATCAAAACTAAGGCATATGTGTGAGTAGTGTCTTGATATGATTATGAGCAATAAATTGTGCTCAAAACGTCATCAGTAAACATTAGTGTATAACACTGTTAGACTTTATCAAAACAAAATTTACTCATAATGGAATTTTCTCCACACCTGATATGATGGACTCCATTGACGACAACTCTGCATTAGAACTTCATGACATCGATTGTATAAACTCCAGCGAACAGAAGGCTGATATTCAGATCCTAGAAAAAAGCCGTAACCAAACGTGCTTGAATCCGTCTTAGGCGCATACTGCTAAAGAGTCTCTAGCCACCATGAAACAGGTGCCTCGTAATTTTCAGTGATTAATATCTGACTTATTTCAATGCGTGATAGTGTCTAAACTGAAATTACATTGACTCTAAGTATAAATTCGATAACTGGTGAGAGTAAAACGAAATGGGATCAGTTAGAGATCATTGAAAATCACGGACCACTGGGATACCTGTTTCTTCATCGTTTGTAATTCTTTAGCGATGGGCACCGATGAATCTACCGGGAATCGAACCCAGGACCTTCAGGTTACCAGGTTAGCTCTTTGATATAAGAATAAAACTTGGGCACTGTGGTAGAGTGTAATTCCATTATGGGTAAATTTTTATTTTGATAGAGTCTCACAGTGTTATACAGTAATATTTACTGATGACGTTTCGAGCACAATTTATTGCCCATAATCATATCAAGGTAATCACATGACTTCCTAAATTCATTTATATAGTTCCATTGCTTTTCACTTGATTTTCACTTGATTTGATTGGTAGTATTATTTTCCATATTTCAGGTATGAGTGATGATTCATTTCTATTGCATGTGTTGGGTGTAGATTTGATGAACAAAGATTCAGTAATCAACCTCTCTCTCCACCTAACTAGATTACTTTTTAGAATTTTAACCCTCTCCCACCCTATTGTGTGGTTGTGTGTCAATGCATGCATTGCAATTGCCGAGCTTTTTTCTAAATTACTTATCTTCTCTGGGTCAACCATTCTTACCTTAGCTAAATTTTTATGTTCTGACAATCTGACTACCCCTGACCTACTAGTTTGACCTATGTAGTTGACCTGACTCACAGTCATTGCAGGGTATTTTGTAAATTATATTATTTTGTTTAATTGGGTCCACTGGGTCCTTTAACCTACAGAGCTTGTCTCTGAGTGAGTTTGTAGGTTTAAATGCCACCCTAATTCCTGCTTTATTTAGAATCCTACGTAGGGTCTCAGATGTCCCCTCTTTATATGGTATAACAGTAGATGACTTATATTCTCTCTTGTTTATATTATTATTACTAGTTTCACAATTATTTTTGTTTTTATTTTGGCATTTTTTAATCTTCCTAATGAATTTTAAAGGATAGTTATTTAACACCAACGCCTCTTCTACCTGTTTTATTTCATCATTTAGGTCTTTTTTGTGCTACTTAGTGCCATTGCTCGGTTTGTTAAACACTTTACTAAGCCTGCCTTAACAGTTAAAGCATGAGATGAATTAGTCTAAATATCTATTAGAATGCGTTGGTTTTTAAAAAAAAACACTAGTGTGAAGTTTACCTTCTTCTATTCGTTTTATTTTACCATCTAACACCATAATTGATTTCCCTTTCTCATCTTCCGATTCAAATGTGAATTTTATTCCCTCCACTAGTGAGTTTATGTGCGTCAAGAAGCTAGAGATATGTTCTGTTTTCAACACTGTGTCTGAAAGTGTCATCCACATATCTCCACCATATTTTTGGAGTAGGATCAACGTATTAAGTGTCATATTTTCCCACCTATCCATAAATATATCTGCTACGAAAAGGGATATTGGTGATCCCATTGCTACACCTTCAGTATGTCTATATATTTTGCTTTGGAATTTAAAGATAGTAGATGTGAGGCACAACTGAATTCCTAAAATAATTTCATCAATGGGTAGTTTCGTCCTATGAGTGAGTTCAGGGTCTGCAGTTAATTCTTTTTTAACTGCTTCTAAGGCCATATTTATTGGTATGTTAGTATAAGGACTGGTTATATCAAAACTAAGGCATATGTGTGAGTAGTGTCTTGATATGATTATGAGCAATAAATTGTGCTCAAAACGTCATCAGTAAACATTAGTGTATAACACTGTTAGACTTTATCAAAACAAAATTTACTCATAATGGAATTTTCTCCACACCTGATATGATGGACTCCATTGACGACAACTCTGCATTAGAACTTCATGACATCGATTGTATAAACTCCAGCGAACAGAAGGCTGATATTCAGATCCTAGAAAAAAGCCGTAACCAAACGTGCTTGAATCCGTCTTAGGCGCATACTGCTAAAGAGTCTCTAGCCACCATGAAACAGGTGCCTCGTAATTTTCAGTGATTAATATCTGACTTATTTCAATGCGTGATAGTGTCTAAACTGAAATTACATTGACTCTAAGTATAAATTCGATAACTGGTGAGAGTAAAACGAAATGGGATCAGTTAGAGATCATTGAAAATCACGGACCACTGGGATACCTGTTTCTTCATCGTTTGTAATTCTTTAGCGATGGGCACCGATGAATCTACCGGGAATCGAACCCAGGACCTTCAGGTTACCAGGTTAGCTCTTTGATATAAGAATAAAACTTGGGCACTGTGGTAGAGTGTAATTCCATTATGGGTAAATTTTTATTTTGATAGAGTCTCACAGTGTTATACAGTAATATTTACTGATGACGTTTCGAGCACAATTTATTGCCCATAATCATATCAAGGTAATCACATGACTTCCTAAATTCATTTATATAGTTCCATTGCTTTTCACTTGATTTTCACTTGATTTGATTGGTAGTAATATTTTCCATATTTCAGGTATGAGTGATGATTCATTTCTATTGCATGTGTTGGGTGTAGATTTGATGAACAAAGATTCAGTAATCAACCTCTCTCTCCACCTAACTAGATTACTTTTTAGAATTTTAACCCTCTCCCACCCTATTGTGTGGTTGTGTGTCAATGCATGCATTGCAATTGCCGAGCTTTTTTCTAAATTACTTATCTTCTCTGGGTCAACCATTCTTACCTTAGCTAAATTTTTATGTTCTGACAATCTGACTACCCCTGACCTACTAGTTTGACCTATGTAGTTGACCTGACTCACAGTCATTGCAGGGTATTTTGTAAATTATATTATTTTGTTTAATTGGGTCCACTGGGTCCTTTAACCTACAGAGCTTGTCTCTGAGTGAGTTTGTAGGTTTAAATGCCACCCTAATTCCTGCTTTATTTAGAATCCTACGTAGGGTCTCAGATGTCCCCTCTTTATATGGTATAACAGTAGATGACTTATATTCTCTCTTGTTTATATTATTATTACTAGTTTCACAATTATTTTTGTTTTTATTTTGGCATTTTTTAATCTTCCTAATGAATTTTAAAGGATAGTTATTTAACACCAACGCCTCTTCTATCTGTTTTAAAACAGCTCTGTGCTCGAAACGTCATCAGTAAATATTACTGTATGACACTGTGAGACTCTATCAAAATAAAATTTACCCATAATGGAATTACACTCTACCACAGTGCCCAAGTTTTATTCTTACATCAGTTATTAGAAATCATGCAAAAATGGACAATCATTTCTCCCTAGCTTGGAGTTCTTCTGTGGTTGGTTTAAATGGCTCCATCAGGAATTAGAACTATGTGACGAGCTCTACCACTACCGAGGTAGAATCCAATGATTTGTGAATTTAAACACCTGTGAATTCGCCACCGATGAACACTTTCCCCACACTCGATATGATGGACTCCATTGACGACAACTTTTCATTAGAACTTCACGACATCGATTGTATAAACTCCAGCGAACAGAAGGCTGATATTCAGATCCTAGAAAAAAGCCGTAACCAAACGTGCTTGAATCCGTCTTAGGCGCATACTGCTAAAGAGTCTCTAGCCACCATGAAACAGGTGCCTCGTAATTTTCAGTGATTAATATCTGACTTATTTCAATGCATGACAGTGTCTAAACTGAAATTACATTGACCCTAAGTATAAATTCGATAACTGGTGAGAGTAAAACGAACTGGAATCAGCTAGAGATCATTGAAAATCACGGACCTCTGAGATACCTGTCTCTTTGTCGTTTGGAGTTCTTTAGCAATGAGCACTCATGAATCTACCGGGAATCGAACCCAGGACCTTCAGGTTACCAGGCTAGCTCTTTGACCATTCAGATGCGTGAGTCGAAATTCAATGATCTGTGACTTTTAAGTATTACTGGATGGATGTCCTCAAGTTGTAAGAAGTCATGGCCAGTAAGGTCCATCACTCCATAGTGAAGTGGGTGGGTGCCCGTCAATAGCATTGTTTGGCAGTAAGTAGCTCTATATCCCGAAATGACGATAATTAGGACTAACGGGGGTTACTTAATTCCCGACCAGGCGATTAAATGTTTTAACCGGCTTAGTTTCATAATCTAGTGATCCTGGGTTCGATTCCTCATTGGGTCTTTGGCTATGCACTGATGAAGAGTCCCACACTGGGACGAAACACACACCCTATAATCTTTGGTTTTCAATGGATCTCTAAATGATGTTATTAGTTCAAATTCAGACAAAACCTACATTGATGAATTTATTTAATGCTTATTTTCGGATTATTTTTTTTTTGATTGTTAGGCGTGTCAGCTAATTATGGCTAATCGTACAAATTTGGATGAATTTTATCAACATTGTATAAGTTTAATATCATTGAATAGTATTCAACTGGAATGGTTATTAGCGCATTTATCCGACCCCCCACCTGTTCCTGATGAATGGATTGATTTGATTGTAACTGGTGCTAAAGAGGTGAGTTGTGTGTGTACAGTATTGTTCCTTTCATCTGGTAATCAGAGTCATCGTTATTATTATTATTCTTTCCTTTAATTCCTAGAGGAACATACGGCTTCAGCTGTGCGTCTCCATTGCGTTCGTTTCTCTCCTAGATTTTTCATCTGGCTCCAAGTCTGCCCACATGTTTTCATCTCCTCTTCACATGACCTCCTCCAAGTCACCCTCACACTGACGACCAACTCGCCACTTCCCATTTGGGTTCCACTCGAGCCATGGCTTTTCAAGTGATGTCACTTGATGGTTCCCTCAAAGTATGGCCAGCCAATCCATCTCCATTTCTTCCTGCCTATTTGTTTCACAATCGGTTCCTGGTTGGTTCGCTCATTGCCAGAGATCTCTGTTGCTGATCTTTTCTGGCAGGCCATCTGATCTTGAGTATTGAGCGAAGACAACTGTTAACGAAGGTCTGTAGTTTGTTTGAGAAGAGTCATCGTTATGTACCCTTACATCTGCTTTATTTTTGTCATCAGTAGACAGACAAGGAGCAGTGAGGAGACAGGCATAAAATGGACCCACTAATACAAAAAACTTGAAGGATCTGGACTTCACCGATGTGATATATGTCTGATTTACCATAAACTCAAAGATATGCAAGTGATGAAAAGCAACAAGTTGGTAGAAGAAGCACCAAAGAAAGATATGACTTCAGGTGAATATAGAAAAGGCAGAGGTGACGATGAAGACTCCCAGCAAACAGCAGCATCAACAACAACAACAGACAACAATCAGGCAGCATAAATGGGAGAAATCTGAAAGAGGCAACCTCCTTCACCTACCCACCTACCTGGGAAGCATCGACTCTACTACATAAGAACAGAACTGATGAGAATATCAAAGCAGCGAGGATCGGGAAATCAAGGCAAACTTACATTACTCTCAAGTCTGTGTGGAGATCAACACTCGGCACTCAGCATGAAAAATAACATCAGGATTTTCACCTCCAATGTGAAATCTAGTCAATTCTACTTACTATACGGATCAGAGACTTGGCGCTGCGCCACGTCACGAAGGCCACTTCGAACAAACTACACACCTTCATCAACAGCTGTCTTCTCTCAATACTTCGCTCGAGATCAGATGGCCAGCCAGAAAACATCAGCAATAGTGGGGGATTTCTGACAATGGACGAACCAAGCCAACCAAGCAGGAAGAAATGGAGTTGGACTGACCATACCCTGAGAAAACAAATCATCAAGTGAGTGACATCACATGTCAGGCCATTGCTCGAGTGGAACCCCAATGGAATGGGAAGTGGCGAGTTGGTCGTCAGTGCGAGGGTGACAATTGGAGGAGGTCATGCAGAGAAGAGAAGATTAAAGCATGTGCGCGGACGTGGAGCCAGGTGAAAACGTTGACAGAGAACCGAATGCAGTGGAGACATGCGGCTGAAGCCTTATGTTCCTCTAGGAATTAAAGGAAACAATAATAATAATTTGTCATCATTGATCGCGCACCTGTTGCAACGTTTGCTCTTACTATTAAACCGTCATTGGCCGCTAAATGTTTAAATATGTCAGTGAATTTAGTGTTTGGTAAGGTCGTATAAAACCTGCATATTCGCTATTTCATACAAGAATTCCCTTTTATAAATTTGAGCGGAGAAAGAGCAAACATTAGTACAGAATTTTGCACCAATGTACTGAAGTGCTCAGCTACAGGTTGACATGTCGCTTCTTCTTGTGCAGATACTTCGATGGTGTGCGGTTATTTAACTTCATGTCAGTTGGTGGATGGTGACTAACAATGGAATCCAGGATGCCCATTTCGTCCAATTTGGGACTCGTCAGCTAGTGGATATACTGAGGATCGAACTCATTACCTACAGCCTCAGTACGAATACCATCGCCCACCCAGGAATTCAGGTGTATCCATCAGCTGTCGAGTCCCAACTAGGATGAAATGTGCATCCTGGATTCTACTGGTAGTCACCACTCACTCACCAGTTTACTGCAAATTGTGAAACTTAGATTAAAATATACAACTGTAGCACAGCATAATATATTGATAATGAATTTGGCGGTAAAAATAAAGAGATGAAAATAATATTTACAGTTACCCAGTTTTGCCTGGTTGGAGTTGAAAGCCAAGGGCGAAAGAGGGATTGGACAAACTTTCTCTGAACACAAAGGATGGGCTGAAAATATTTTATAGTGACTGTCTCAGCTATGCTAGGCAGCTAAAGGTATATGAACTTAGAGAATAGAGGTGGCATCTTGTATAGAATTGTAAAGGCTGAATTTTTATTAATCTTATAATCCGTATCCACAAGGTATGCTAATATGGACCTCCTGGTTGAATTTAGAACTGCTTTTCCTAACCACTTTGTATAATGCTGAAGAAGGCGTCGGTTGTCTTGGTGAGTCATGATTCACATCATTTAGAGAATGGCTGAAAAGCAAGAGTCTCAAACTAGCCTGACGAAACAGCTGTCTAGCAGTACTCACTGTGGCTGGTTTTCTAATGTTTCTCTAAATGATGTCAGCTCATGATGAAATCCTCCAACCAATCAAAACAAAATTCCCTACAAAACCAATACTTGAAAATTAATCTGATGCTCACTAGCGATCGGCCTCATCCAGGTAGGCAATTGCCTGGGGTTCTTCTAGGAAGCCGTGACCAGTAGGGTACAGCAGGTTGAAGGTGAGAACAATTACTCATCGAAGAAGACATTGCGAAGTGGTCGAGCTATGTCATGAACTGGAAGAAGTTAGAATTCATGGGCTGGCCATTGGATCGGGTCCCATTGAGTGGCTTAATGGTTTACAAGCTACCTCGCCTAGTAACCAGGAGATCCTGGGTTTGAACCCTGGAGGTGGAGGAATATTGATAAAAATTCCAAAACTGGGAAACAACTTTCCAGTACTCCCTTGTGGTTTTCCAATGGTTTTCCAACTAATGTCAGCTCACGGTCAAATCCTCCAACAACCAACTAAAGAAAATTCCCTACAAAACCAATACTCGAAAAGCAAGTATCACTGGACAGTTGTTTCGTCTTGATTTGTGACACTTCATCAGTACTCAGCGCCGATGTTTACTAGATATTGAACCCATGTCCTTCACGTTACACTTCTAGGTGTGATATTGGCTGGTGGTGGCACCATATGTATTTCAAATCAGTCGCAGTTAGAATTCACCGGGCATTTGCAGCCCAATGGCTGAAAGGTCAGCGAGCTGAAAATTTTACATTGCTTAAGGTTTTACAAAAGTTTCAGATGTGTCTATTGGATGAAAGCTCACAGGCAAAAAGTTTAGATTCAAAAAGGCTTCTTTTTAATTCATTTCCAACATTTAGCAAGAAAGCTACTTAGTGTTAGATGGTTGCAGGAAATCGGCCACAGGAAGCCTCGCTTGACGTTGGTTTCGTGTTAGTTGCCACTCACCAGTCAGCACGGTGTTTCTGAAACCATGAAGGAACTCCTCATGTCCCTACTGAGATTCGAACTGGCGTCACCCAGTGCCACCTGCAGTCAGAGGCGTTACCACTGAGCTATTCGGGCTCGGGACTGAACTCCTGTTAGACTGCATTGGATACTTGAAAATCAATGAGATGCTCACTAGCGACTGGCCCTATTCAGGTAGGTAGGTAGTTACCTGGAGTTCTAGTGGGAAGCCGTGATCAGTAAGGTGCAGCAGGTCGGGGGTGAGGACAAATACTCGCCGAAGACAATGGCTAGCGGTCGCGCATGTCGTGAATTGGCAGAAGTTGGAATTCATGGACTGGCCATTGGATCGTTGGGTCCCAGTGAGTGGCTTATCGGTCTACGAGCTAGCTCGCCTTGTAACCAGAAGGTCCTGGGTTCGAACCCTGGCGGTAGGTGGGTACTGGTGAAGAGTCTCAAAGTAGGCTGACGAAACAGTGTCTGTTTGGCAGTACTCCCTTGTGGTTTTCCAATGGTTCTCTAACTGATGTCAGCTCATGATGAAATCCTGTGACCAATCAATGAAATCCCTACAAATCAATAATTGGATACTTTGATTAGACACTAGTTAGTAACTACCGTGTGCTTCAGTGGTACATCGGTAGAATTCCCGCCGGCAATGTCTGTGGTCCCGGGTTCGATCCTCAGCTGACAAACTCCCTTACCTCGCTAAGTCAGTAATAAGACTGGTAAAGATAGAAGATTGAGCATGAGGCTAGCAACCAGCCAACTAGCCTGAAACCTAGGTCCAGCCAAGACTTCCTCCCAATTCCCTCCAACCATCTAATATCAACAATTCACTGTACACCTTGATGGCGAGCCACCTGGTGGCATGGTGGCCACATCGCAAACCTGACTTTTTTTCCTTCACCTTCCCAGCGGAACATAGGGCCTCAAGCTAGTACCTTGAAGTTTCTGTAGCAGTGAGTTGTTGGTACTAGATGGTTGGAGGCAATCGGCGGGAAGCCTTGGACCTAGGTTTCGTGCTAGTTGGCACTCATCAGCAAGGCGTATCTGCAACCTTGAAGGAACTGATGTCCCTTCTGAGATGCGGGTTCGAATCTCAGAAGGGACATCAGTTCCTTCAAGGTTGCAGATACGCCTTGCTGATGAGTGCCAACTAGCACGAAACCTAGGTCCAAGGCTTCCTGCCGATTGCCTCCAACCATCTAGTACCAACAATTCACAGTGCACGGCAATGGCGAGCCACCTAGCATGGTGGCCACATTGCAAACATGACTGATAGAATTCAGTCTTCACCGAAGATAGGACTAGACACATTACACTAGTTACTGACTAGTGTTCAATCAAAAGTTTCTGTAGCAGTGTTTAATTTTTACAGGATGGGGTTGCTAGCCTCATGCCCAACCCTTCCTTTTTACCAGCATTATTTCTGGCCTAGCGAGGTAATGGAGTGCGTCGGCCGGGGATCGAACCCCGGACCATGTGCATGGTCGGCGAGCGTCCTAACCGCTATGCCACCGACGCAAACCTGACTGACTGATAGAATTTAGTCTGCACTGAACACCAAGGACTAGACACATCACACTAGTTACTAGCTAGTGTACAATCGAAGCTATTCAATTTCAACTATCATTATGTTTGTACCAGCAGCCATTGGTTCTGTCTTTAAAGTTTTGGATAGAGTGGAAATGACTTCTAAATCTCTTTTGAATGGAGAGGAGTATTTCGTCACAGCAATATGTATATCCCTAAAATACAGAATCTAATCCTCTGTGTTAGCACTTTCGTGAAGTATCTAGTTGTGGACAACGTGGATCAAGTACGCATAAACACCTAGATCAACCCGTAAGAACACAATTCAGACTAGAGTAATACAAAGAAAACAGTCTGCGAGCAATGCGTAACTCAAATAGTATTTACATCATGAATATATTTGAAAATATACAAATTAACTATAATATATTGGGGTTTTCTTTTGAAATTCAGGTAAATGATCGTGCATACGCTGATGAAATGGAGCATTATATTAGTACAGGACAATCAGATTTACCGATTTCTGAATTACAGTTGAATGAATTAAAAGAACTCCCAATTCCTTTATTGCTCCCAGCTGACGGTTATGCCTCAGATGCTGTACTGACTGGTATTCCTGATGGTCTGTTAGATTTTCTACGTCCACTGATTAAAGACGGTTTGATCAAGGTGAAAAAACATCCGATAACTAATGGCCAGTTGGAAAATCGACCATGGACTAATTGTATGCGATTAGCAATGGTGAGTTTATTTATTTAATATATTTTAACTACTCATGAGTAGGCAAATAATCCCACATTAAAAACAATTAATAATGTTTTTTTTTCAAGTATTGGTTTGGTCACATTCGATAGCTTCTTAGATTCTGCATCATATGGCAACATTCTTCTCATGGTTCTCTTCTTTGCTTGCTCTTTCCAGTGTGCAAAACATATTGTTACTTTTCTGAATTCGTTTCTGATGTATTACTTATATCGGAGTATAAGTAGCACTCACCACAACAGTACCATAAGTTTATAGGTTTCCAGGCCGTAGGTGTTACGAACTTCCTGGAATAATTTGAGCGCCGATTCAGATTGATTCATTATAAATAAATAGATAAATCTGCTGAAGAAGCTGTGGCTTACACAGCGAAACGTTCAGAAAAATCTTGTTTTGATTTTCTTAACACGCTGGGATTAATTTAAATAATTTATAAGTACCATCATAAGTTGTCATAATTTAATCGATTAGAAAACAGAGTTAACTGGAGAAAATGTATGCAATATAGTGATAGAGGTTTCTGGAAGCTCAAAAGCTGATTTCTATAGTTCTCATTCTTCCTTACCATTTATTGTAATGCTAGTCAAATTTTCCGGATGTTCAAAGCACGTGTGGAATCATTCCTGTTAGAGAACCATTGGAAAACCAGCTGACAGCTGTTTCGTCAGCCTAGCTTTGCGACTCTTTATCAGTACACACACACACCCACCGACTTCCGTTATTAATCTCTCTCCCTCAATCCTGTCATATTAGATTTTATAACTATCATCTTATTCCATCCTATTTTTTTTGATTGCGTGTGATTGCATGCAGTGAGTGCTATATAGTTTGAGCAGTGCTCAAGATTTCACCTGACAATCATTTCAGGATATTAGATAAACACTAAATTATTTTGTTGAATGGGTTCAGCAAGAGCCTTTAACTGTCACAGTTTGTTGTGTTTTTTTTCAAGTGAGTTTGTATGTCTAAGTGTCACTTTTATTCCTGGCTTGTCAAGAATTCTACGTACGATTCCCAAGGTTCATTCTTTGTATGGCGGTATTAATAGTAATAATAATAATAATTACTGTGATAATGATAGTAATATTGACGATAATTTTCTATAGTTGGTTTGTAAAGATTAGTTTTGTTTTTACGAGTTGATCATGGCTTGATCTCAGTTAGAAAACCATTGAAAACCAACACTGGAGTACCGGAAAGCCAGCTGTTTCATCCTAGTTTGAGAATCATAGGAAGTACGCACCCACTGCGCTGGGGTTCAAACCCAGAACCTTTCAGTTACAAGGCAAGCTCTCATACCATTCAGCCACTGGGACCCGAAACAATGGCCAGTGCATAAATTCTAACTTCTACCAATTCGTGATGCATTTAGCGCAACCCCAACCAATGTCGTCGGTGGGACATCCATCCTCAAACTTGGCTGGATGGACCTCACTTGTTACGACTTCTCACCAGAACTCCAGGAAACTCCGTCCTGCAGCAAGTCACTAGCGAGCATCAGATTAATTTTCTATAATTTGGTTTGTAAGGATTAGTTTTGTTTCTACGAGTTGATCACCGCTTAATATCAGTTAGAGAACCATTGATAACCAACAGGGAGTATTGGATGAACTTCACTGGTCACGACTTCTCATGGACCATTAAATCGGGTGCTGCCAGTGGCTGAATGGTATACGAGCTTGCCTTGTAACCGAAAGGTCCTGGGTTCGAACCCATGTGGTGGATGCGTACTGCTGATGATCCCCAAACTAGGATGAAACTTCTGTCCAGTACTCCAGTGCTGGTTCTCTAACTGATATCAGTCCGTGATCAGCTTTTAAATACACAGTTAAGAAATCTATAGCAGAGCTCAGCTGCAGTACTCAAGCAATTGCATCCAACTATACAGTAGGATGGGATGAAATGACAGTCTTATTGTGTAACATAACAGGATGGAGGCAGAGATTGATAACGGGAACCTTGTTGATCCAACCAACTGAAAATACGTGTAATAAGAATGGTTCAGTACCTGTTCTGGATATCTGGAGAATTCTACTACCCCTACGACGAACGGGAAGGAATAAAGAGAATTATAAAACTCAAGTTTCTAAGTTGTGTAATTATATTTGACGTGATTGTGAACAATGAATCGTGTTTGAGACGTTGTCGAGTAAAGAATATACTCTTCCATAAACAAATTAATACGGAACTCCTTCCTATCACAAGTATGATTCTTCCTACGTCTCAGTTCTTCATGAGATTTCCAGAGTATAAAGCAAAATCAGACATCAGTGAATTCTGACGTACAACAAGTCCATAAAAAAGCTCGATCCTGTCACACTTGGTCGATAATGGACATCATATCGATGTCAACACAGCTTTCAGGGTAGTTGTCACGTACAGTTCGCTTACGTCTCCTATACATAGCTGAAGCTGTGGCCAAACCGGAACTTTGTAACTAAAAAGAACACGTTCAGATGCTGTTCCAACCGTGGCCAAACTTGGATTGATGATTCTTCTTCTTCTCACCAAGAGTGCTTCTTCCCCTTAACCCTCTTGGTTTTTTTCCTTTGCTTATTATTACAGTTATTATTATTATTCGTCATAATTTATACCCTTCACGCAAACATTCTCTCATTACTATTGAATTTTTCATTTATACTATCCAGACTTATTATTAGTGATATTATCTCAATATATGCCCCCACCTGTTTCATTTCACACGTATTGGTTATTTCATGATGAACCTCTCACTGCAGTCTTACTATCTTCTCCCCTTTAATACATACCACTTTGTACTAGCCACTCACTCACCTGACACCTTTTATAACCTTGAACTGACTTATTTGTCAATTTTCCTACCCCACACTCTACAAATCTATTATGACTAATCACCACCCTTGTCTCCCATTTTACCGAAATATTTTGTAATCGATTTCAGCCTAGAACGACGTTTGTCACACAAACACGACTATTTATTTTGACACCCTATAACACTAATCTGTTATTCTACGTTAAAAGTGTCTCCACCGCATAACTGGCCATAATTGTAACATATAGAAAATCACGGAATATACACATTTGATCATAGGGAATAAAAAGACAGTTGCAGAGAAGAAAATTTTCTTTTCGACGAAGTCATCAACTAGATAGCTGTACATTCGTGTATTTATATCCAATGGATGGGAAAGTTCCAGAACGATTTCTGGTTACGGGTTAAATTAATAAAAATTACAATTAGGAATTAGAATGCCATAATAAACAGGGGGATGGGTAAAACTCAAACAAAGTAGCATAATAACTAAGAAGATTGACATTGTGCAATTGGGTGTTAGAAATGTAGAAATAACAAAACAGACAGGATGTTTGGATAAGAAACTAGTGTGATGAATAATTGTTTATGCAATCAGGGATTAAATATGTAGAAATAGTAAGATGACAAAATAAACAGGAAGTGTGGATATGAAAATATGGTAGTGTAGACAGGGATTAAGAAGACTTAAAATAACATGAATAAACAGGAAGTTTAGATAAGAAAGGCGATGGGATAGTCATTATTAAGAAATTTACCTGTTTATGATGGCCATGGCAGGGACAGGGGTTGGACGTATTTATTTTGGATACAAAGAGTGAGTTTGAGTTTTTAGATAGCTAACGCCTCAGCTATGCCCAAATGTCTTGATTTCACTTGAAAATCAAAACAAGTGATTCAGCGAAGAGACTCTTTTCAATGAATTTATCATCAAGCTGTACAATCGTATATATATGGTTTTTTTAAGAAGTTATATCCGGTGGAGGAATTGAAACATAGGCGTGAATGCATAAAATAATAATTATAATAGTATGAAATGCGATTAAAACTAAAATGTTTGTGATTATAATCGTGGTTAAATGTCAAGTGGCAAAGCAAATTAATGTCATATATAGAATAATTCATAGTATGGATAGAACTTCAAATAGGGTGTGCAATTATAAGATTAGTATGCAAATAGATTATAATAAAAACGTTACGTAATATTGTGTGAAATTTGATAGGATAGAATTTAACGTTGTAAAAAGGAATTGATTTAGAATGACGAGTGGAACAAGTGAAATAATACCGGGGACAGTTCAAAGTGAGAATAGCAATAGTAGCGACAATAAATATTATATTATTTTTATAAGTAAAAACACAGTTTTTGTTCAGCGAAGAAATTTCTTTTCAACGACTTCATTTTCAAGCTGTACAGTCGTATTTATATTACAGAAAAGGTTATTAAGTGGCACTAAATAATTGCTCAGTCAATATACATATATGTGATAAGAATAACGATAATTAAAATGTTATAAGGGGTAGAGTTGAAGTGGATAAATTACAAAATTATTAAAGATTGTTTTATAAGTGAATTGAATTTTAGATTTTCCAGTCGATTGATTGGACTGAAGTGTTCGGTCTCAGATTGACATGTCTGTCGGCTTCTTGTGCAGATGCTTCGACGGTGTCTGGGCATGTAATTACATATGACCCGTTGCACAAGAGATGTGGCTCTCGTGGCCCAAGTGCTCTAGTGGATAACGCTTTGGCGTTTGAAACTATGGCCACTGGGTTCGAGGCTCGGTGGGAACACCATCGTCACTCACTGGGGGGGAATGCAGGTACATCCAGCTAGCTGACGAGTCCCAAATAGGACGAAATGCGCAACCTGTATTCCATTGCTTGTCAATATTCACCAATTAAATAAATATTATATTTTATAATTTTAAGGATCTGAAGAGGAGTAATTATTGAAAAAAGAATATTCTTCGTTCAGATTGACTTTTAAGTCATTTTGAAATGGGAATATTTCACACAATCAAATTCTGAAGTACCTATGATCATTGGAATGATTTTCAACATCAGTGTTCCGCAAATGTTGCATATTATTATTATTATGTCACCCAACGGCCTCCTCAGCGAGTGTCCAATCCATCTCCACTTTCTCCTGCATATTTGTTGAGCGATTGGTTCTTGTTTTGTTTGTTCCCATAGTTTCTTGTTGGTGATTCTTTCAGGCCATCTGATCTTCATCCAATATAGAGCGAAGACAGTTAGTTGTTGTTAAAGGTCTGCAACAGGCTGTTGGAAATATTCTTTGTGACCCGCCAACTTTCTGATCCATCCGTATAGAAGAACTGACTGACTGACTTGATGTTTGTATTGAAAATCCGAATCATTTTGTTGTTGATGCAGGCTGAGTGACGAAGATTTCCAGATTGGTTTCAGGTTGATGAATGTGTTTCTCGCCTTCCCGATTCTCCATTTGACATCCTCGTCCGTTGCTTCTGTAGTTGAGACAATGCTCCCTCCCTAGATAAGTGAATGAAGTAACCTCTTTCAAATCCCTCCCGTTGATGGTGATTGGCGCTGGATGTTGCTGCTGTTGTTGTTGTTGTTGGTTGGTTATTTTCATAACCTCCGTCTTGTCTATGTTCACCTGGAGTCCTGTCTTCTCTGGCTGCTTCTTCGACCAGTTTGTTGGTTTTCGCTTGTAAGTCTTCGATTTTGTGTGATATCAAACATAAATCATCCACGCGCGAAATCCAGGTCTTCTAGGTTCTTCACGTCGGTCCAGGATATCCCTGTCTTCTCGTTTCCCACTGTCTGACGCATAATCCAGTCCACCACAATTAGGAATATCATTGGTGATAATAAGCACCCTTGTCTGACTCCTGTGTTTACTCGAAACGCCTCTCTGAGTTTTCCGCTGTGGATCACTTGACATGTGTGGTTGTCGTACAGCTGTTGAATAAGGATGATGAATATTTGAGGTACGCCGTAGTACTCGAGTAGTTTCCCAATTACTTCGCGGTCAACGCTGTCGAAGGCCTTCTCAAAGTCTATGCAGTAAGTTGAGGTAGAGCTTTGATTGCCATTCCATGCTTTGTTTCGTGATGATGATGCGTAGAGTTGCAATCTGGTCAGAACACCTCATTTGCCTTTCCTGAATCCAGCTTGTTCTGGTCGGAAGAGTACGTCGGCTGAGGAATGTTGTTGCATATATTGACCTTTATATTAATCTCATTCACCTTATCTTTTATTCATCTGTTTTATCATCTTTATTTTTTTTTACTAAATTTCAGTATGAAAAAGAACACGACAATCGAAATCAGCATGTAGTACAGTCAAGACGACAAGGAACATTACCGAAATCTTATCAAGATCGTAAAAGTCCAAGCACCACTACAACTACTGTCAATCTTAGTTGTAATAACAAGTCAGATAGACTAAAACAGCGAACACACAGCCACAGTGGTGATCATGCAGATGATTTAAGCCATTCTTCCAACAGTCTAACAAGCAACACCGGCAGTATCGACAGCAGTGGAAGTAATTTCAAAGAATTCTCCACACAAACAGTTCGTTATCAACCGAGCAAGCCGAGTACACTACAGAAATCATTCAATCCATTGTTGTCAGCCAATAAAGAAACAAGAACGCATGCCTCATTACCGGATCTAAGTCATGCGAGTTATGAACAGCTGGCAAAAGACGCGAATGTTCCAATAAAATCGATTACACAATTCTTTTTGAAAAAGTATAATAATAGTTTAGGGTTGAGTATAGTTGCAGCGAAGGTAAGTTCAGTGGGTGGACAGCTAGTGTGTTGATGAAGAATGCTTGAATATTCTCTTTTTTTTATTCCCTATACGTTCCCAGTGCTGGAACATAGGGGACTTCAAGCTAGAGAGGCTAGAGAGAGGTTTCAGTAGCAGTGGTGTTTATTTTTACAGCATGGGGTTGTTTTAGCTTCATGTCAAACCTCCCCTCTTTACCAGTCTTATTACAACTGGCTTAGCCAGGTTTAGGAGTGCATCTTTAGCCCCCGGATCACATGCGTGGTCGGCAAGCATTCCACCACTCTGTCATCGACGCACGCTTGACTTTATATATATATATATATATATGGGGATAAATTATTACAGTATGGATCACGGTTTGATACCAATTAGAGAACCACTGAAAATCAGCAGAGAGTATCGTACAGTCATTTCTTCATCGTTTGGGACCTCCGGAGCAAGCATAAGATTAAATGGACTGAGTCCCAGTGGTTGATTGGTATGCGACCTTACCTTGTAACAGGTAGGCCCCTGGTTCGAACCCCAGTGGCTGCGTAATACTGAGAAGTCCTAAAGTAGACTGATGAAGCAGCTGTCCAGTGCTTCCTAACAGATTTTAACGGTTCTCTAACTGATATCAATCCGTGATCAAACCTCTCAACCAGAGAAGTTGTCAAGCCGCACCGACTGAAATCTCTAGGACATGTACTATTCATTCCGAATCACTGCCCTTGCCTCAGTAAGTAATCTTAGCTGATTATGACAAGGTTAAAAAAGAAATCAAAACAAGATTTTGAGCGAACAATTGTTTTCGATAACTTCTTCTTCAGGCTCTACAGTTATAAATCCATGAATAATAGAGTACATATAGCCAATAAAGGCAAATGAAAATAATATCGGAAACTGTACTGGGGTGCATGTGTAAGTTAAGATGATAGTCCATTAGTTAACATAGTCAATCAAATATGTATAGGGTGTATAGTCAGAAAAATGTGATGAAGTGTGAATGAACAATTGGGTGATATAGTGCTGTTTTATAGTCAACAGAATGCAAGTGTCATTGGGGTGAGAGAAACACGGTAGACACAAAATACACACAAACACACATTAACAAAGGGGACACAGAATGTGAGGACTGACCGATAATGTCTAATGATAAAATAAAGAGGCTAAATTGTAAATTGTAATAAGATGTTACAGAATTGGTAGGCTTAGTGTAAAATCACAAAGGTTAACAAAATTAAGGGTAACAATGAGGTGAAATAAACTGGGTGGAGAAATGGATAATAAAGACATGATATCACAGAATGATAATAATGGTAATAATAATACGGAAAATTATGATCCTGGTGACCTTATAGTGGGCCAGGGTAGACAAAGAGAGTGAATAAGTTTTTTCTGTACACATGAGTCTTGTCTTTCTCTATTAATCTCTAAAGCCTCAGCTATGGCTAGGAGGCGTAATCGTGTGCCTTTGGGGAGATTGTTTGGTACTCGATACACAACCTTAAATGACTCTTCTACTTTGATGCTGTGTTCGCTATCCACTAGATGAGACAGAATTGCACTATTTAATGATTTGGTTGCTCTTTTCCCAAGCCAAACAGGAATATGTTCACGAGTGCATAAAGATAAATTCCTTTGGGTACGACCTATATAGCTAGCTCCACAGGAGCAGTTGAATTTATATACACACATTGATGTCGTCATTTTGGGTAATCTATCCTTAATGCACAGTGCCAATATCGGTTTGGTGGAGAAAGTGACATGCATTTTAGCGGCACTGAAAGTTCTTTCAACTACTCTCGTTAATCTACGGTTTAATATATCGCAGGATATATCGCCCTTGAATTGTAAATTTAAGTAAAGCTTTTTCTTACTTACTGTGTATCGCTTAGTTTTGTGTGTAGTTTCATAGATATTCTTCTTTACGAAGTTGGTAGGATAGTCGTTCTGTAGCAAGGCGTTTGTGAGGTTTTCTATTTCATCTTCAATGCAGTCGTCGGTACATATGCGCCTAATTCTATAAGTAAGACAACGAATTAGGTTGCGCTTATATTGTATAGGTATGAAGCTATGGAAGTGGGTGTATTGTCTATTCCAGGTCGCTTTCCTATAGATGTTTCTCTTCAAGGTACCGTCTGTTCTTTTTGTAAGAAGAACATCCAGAAATGGAATGCTACCTTGGAGTTCCTCTTCACAAGTGAATTTAATAGCTGGGTGTACCTTATTGAAGACTTGGAGTAGGTGTTGTCTATCTTGATTATTGTTACAAATGATAAAGGTATCGTCAACATATCGACAATAATAATCGAGTTTGTTTAGTATCTCTTTTAAAGGACTATTTTCCAATTTAGATAGAAATATGTCAGCTAATAATTGTTCATTCACACTTCATCACATTTTTCTGACCATATACCCTATACACATTTGATTGATTATGTTAACTAATGGACTATCATCTTAACTTACACATGCACCTCAATACAGTTTCTGATATTATTTTCATTTGCCTTTATTGGCTATATGTACTCTATTATTCATGGATTTATAACTGTAGAGCCTGAAGAAGAAGTTATCGAAAACAATTGTTCGCTCAAAATCTTGTTTTGATTTCAATATGGGGATATTTCATTTATTAAAAGAGAAACAAAGGTGATCAGGCTAAAATGAAGTACCATTTCAGGAAGTTAAATAGGTCAGTGACAACATCTCTGACTGCAAAAACAGAAGGGATATCAGTCCTTACAAGGTTACTGAGATTGATGAAATGTTCAAAAATCAACAGAATCTGGTCTATGATTATCTTCGAATTGAAAACATTTTTTTCCCTTTTTCAGGACTGACAATTCTAGGGCGTCAAACGTTATTAAAAAAACGCCATCCATATGTATATTAAATTTTTTCCATTATTATTATTATTGTTATTATTTTTATTATCTATCCACCCATATAAACGTATACAAATCATGTGCAAACTACAGGACATTTCTCCCTCTTACTATGGTACTTACGTGCTGTTTTTCCCCACGCCTTGTGTTGGACAGTAAACAGATATTACTTCATACACTTATTCCCCTTTAATATGAATTTGAATAAAGCAAGAACAACAACAGTGGTTTTTGTAGAATTGTTTATTACGTTGGCTTCTCATCATCTGCTTACAGCACAAAGACATTATTATATTAAAATTATTATTGTTTCCTTTAGTACCTAGAAGAGGAACATAGGGCTTCAGCTGCACGTCTACATTGCGTTCGGTTCCTCATCAGCGTTTCCATCACCTCGCTCCACGTCTACCCACATGCTTTCATCTCCTCTTCACATGACCTCCTCCTCCATGTCACCCTCAGAGTGACGACCAACTCGCCGTTTCCCATTAGGTTGGGTTCTTCTTGAGAGCCTGTCTTGTGATGTCACTTGATGGTTTGTTTTCTCAGAGTATGGCCAATCTACCTCCATTTCTTCCTGCATATCTGTTATACAGTTGGTTCCTGCTGGGTTGGTTCGTTCGTTGCCAGATATCCCTGTTTCTGATGTTTTCTGGCCGGCCATCCGATCTTGAGCGAAGTATTGAGCGAGGACAGCTGTTGATGAAGGTGTGTAGTTTGTTCGAAGTGCCCTTCGTGACGCGGTGCAGCCCCAATTCTCTGATCCATTTAGTGAGTAGCACTGACTTCACATTGGAATCGAAAATCCGGACCTTATTTTTCATGTTGAGTGCTGTGTGTTGATCTCCACACAGACTTGAGAGAAATGAAAGCTTGTCTTACTTTCCCGATTCTCGCTTTGATGATATCCTCACCGGTTCCGCCCTCCTGTAGTTCAGATGATGCTTCCCAGGTCGATCGGTAGGTAGGTGAGTAGGTAAAGGAGGTTGATTCTTTCAAATTTCTCCCATTTATGCTGGCTGACTGTCTGTTGTTGTTGTTGCTGTGGCTGTTGCTGTTGGCCAGGAATCTTCATCGTCACCTCTTTCTTCCCTATGTTCACCTGAATTCATATCTTTCTTTGATGCTTCTTCTACCAACTTGTTGCTTTTCATTTGCATATCTTCCAGTTTGTCGGACATTATTAAGTAGTATATCTACAGAAACAAATTTAACATACTTGCATAGAGATTTTATTTTTAAACAAAAATCAATCAGTATATGCACACAATGCTTATAATGATCATACACAATGGAATCCTCCGGCGTTACGTAATCAAATGAAAGAGAGGGTGAAAATATCCAGTTGCCAGACAGCCGGGCAATGAAAGACTGATAACTGCTTCTTTCTGAACACACACATAAATCGGGTTTCAGGCGCTTGATGGAGATCGCTTCAGCAAACTTAAGGAGAATTGAAATCCTTTGAACCTAATGGTAATTTTGAGCAATCTTGCAACGTCCACCTCATGACCTGTGTCAAGGCGATGTCTGGTGATGGCACTATTTAAAGCATTTGGTCCCTTTAGATATAGGGTTTTTGGTACATGTCCAGAAAATCGGAGGTATGCCCTTCTTTCTTTTCTTCCAATGTGATTGCTCCAGCAGATGCACTTAAATTTGTATATACAGTTGGAGTTGTTAGCATAAGAAGGGTATCTGTAGACTTTTGATTAAATCAAAGAGCAAGTTGTTCGATAGACGGGAACCAGCTTTGCTGCAAGATAGGCTTTTACTAGCGATATCTTCAATCTTCTGTTGACAACTACTGTGATATTTTCACCTTTAAAATCAAATTGAATGTAGATGGGCTTTTTTTCTAGCTGTGATTTGCTTGACATTTAAGCCTTCCAGATCTTCCATACTTGTGAATTAACCTTTGAGGGTGACCGTTGCTTTTCAACACCTTTTCGAGAAACATAAATTCTTCCTCTGATTTCTCTGTAGAGCATATTCTCCTCTCTCCATAGTACACAGTTTTGACTATTGCTCGTTTAAAGCTATTTTTTGACAAAAACTATTAAAATGTAGGTATTGTTTTTTCCATGTAGGCTTGCAGTAAACTGACCTGTGAAGACAACCATCTTCTAGGGGTTGTATGGCAATGTCAAGCAATTGGAACTTTCCATCATTTTCATGTTCCATAGTAAAATTGTTTCTGTAAATATACTGCTTAATAATGTCTTTGGGCTGTAAGCAGCTGAGCTGAGGAGAAGCCAACGAAATAAACAATGGTGACACCATTTTATTTTGCAAAAAACCACTGTTGTTCTTGCTTTATTAGCTAAATAAAAACCCGCTGAAACTGACTGAGTTCCAACTTAAAATTTTTGCAACAAATGGAGCAGTTTAAGTTGCCACATTCATGCAGCCAGGTGAGGGCTTACGGCAAGTTGTCATATGAAGTGGTGACGACTGGTGGTGTCCGTCAAGGATGCCCATTATCTGCATTTCTATTCAACTTCATCATAGATGTACTAATGGGCTTAACCCTAACTCACTTCAGAGACTCAGGGATTGACTTGCTACCAGGGAATAATCTCGTTGACTTAGAATATACAGACAATATAGTCCTTCTAGGCGAGGACGCTGACAAAGTGCAGAGTCTACTGAACATCTTGAGCAGCAATCTTCGAAAGTTTAGCATGCGATTCGCTCCCGCCAAATGCAAGATGATGTTACAGGATTGGACTACACCAACTCCTAGATTAGAAATAGGGAGTGAAGTGGTAGAGCACGTTGACCGCTTCACTTACTTGGGAAGTACCATCAGCCCCAACGGGATGATCTCTAATGAAATCTCAGCACGGATACAGAGGGCTAGTTTCGCATATGCCAGTTTACGCCGTCTCTGGCGTAGACGTGATATCTGACTGGCTATCGACCGAAGGGCGTGTGTACTACTCAGCAGTCCGCTCCGTCCTCCTTTATGGCTGTGAGACCTGACCATTGAGAGTGGAAGACATGAAAAGATTAGCTGTCTTCGATCATAGGTGTTTGCGTTCTATCTCCCGTGTGAAGTGGTGGTATAATAAGGTGAGCAATATTGAGGTTAGGCGTCGAGTGCTAGGTAAGGAGGGGAAATCAATGGACGAGGCTGTGAAATCACATCGACTGAGATGGTCAGGACATGTGTTACGTATGCAGGCCTAGTCATCGCCTTCCTCGACCGACGGGCAATGTTAGCTGATATAGGGCCAGGCTGAAAAAGAGCTAGCGGCGGTCAAACGAAAACATGGCACCAGTCAATGAAATCCACAACAGTTAGTCTAAGCCACGTAGGAAGGTGTAGACTAGCTTCCTGGTTGGGGTCGTCGGGACGGTAAAAACCAATGGCGGTTGGAAACAATTGGTGACATTGCTCAAAATCGTTCTCAATGGCTGGCTGGTGCAGATGCATCCACTCCTTGTGACTTATGATTTCCAATGAAACTGTTTTGTTCTTCGTTATTACTATTCCTTTGTCTCACACCTCTGTTTACTGACTATATTATTATGCATTTCTTCTACTTTCTTCTCTTGCTTTGTGTGCTACATGGAGGGAGTGTGGCGACTTGAACTGGCGCACATATGTGCAAAGTTCTATGTCGAAAACAGACAGACAGACAGACATTCCATTTCAGACATGTCAAGAAGAAAGCAAAACACCAAAACTTAATAGATATGGAAGATTGCAATGAGTGAATGTATCCCCTCGACTATGCAAAAATTTTCAGCCATATCACCAACAGTTTGTATTCGTTACTGTTCTTGACATCTCGATGACCCTAACGAGTCAGTCTACATTTCTCTATGTGGCTAGCTCAGATTAACTGTCAGTTACCTCATGAACTCATTCCAGATTCCGGTTTGAGTACTGCTAACTTTTTTTTCATGCGTCAGATAAAATTGTTTTCTGTGGAAGGTGTTGATTCAATATGCACGCAACACATGTTCTAGCCATTTCAATCGATGTAGATTCACAAACTCGTCGATTGATTTTCTCTCCTTACCCCTTACTCACGTGATTATACCACTCAACGAAACAGTAAGGATGTAAACATCCATGGTCAAAGATATCTAGTCCTTTAATTATCTTCTACTTTCAATGGTCATACCATATGGCCGTAAAAGAAGAAAGAGATAACTGTTTCTCAGTAGACAAGTCCTTTGATCGATAGCCAAACATCATATCTACTCCAGAAATGATGTAATTTAGCAAATTCCACATGGGCCTTTTGTCTCCGTGCTGAGAATTCGTCAGCAGTCAATCCATTAGGGCTCACGCAATTTACCGAATAAGTGAAATGGCCAACATGTTGTGCCACTTGATCCCTTATCTTTTTAAGTTAGGAGTTGTTGGAATCCAGCTTCGCAGCAGCAACTTACATTCTCCAGGGATGAATCACACGCTAAACATTCAAAGATTTCCGTTTGTGGTGTCCGAAAGACTCTGCATTTATTAAGAGTCTTCACCTAGGAAGACAGTTTCCAAGACCGTTCTCTGGTAATAATCCAATCCTTAAGTCTCTGAAGTCCGTTGGGGTCAATTTCATGATTTTATTTGCGATGAAACTAAACAAAATGTGGGGACACTGGACATCACTGACAGATGCCACTGGTTGTTATTACTTCGTAGGACAACTGTCCTCTAAGCTGCCTTACGGCTACGTGAATTCGAGTAGAGTACCTTGATTAATACTCTATATTATAAGTTTCCAGACCGTAGGTGTTACGAACTTCCTGGAATAATTTGAGCGCCGAGTCAGATTGATTCATTATAAATTATTTAAATTAATCTCAGCGTGTTAAGAAAATCAAAACAAGATTTTTCTGAACGTTTCACTGTGTAAGGCATCACATCTTGTTCATCAGATTTATTCGGATTTTTATTAATCATCAAAATATATAGTCAAAATTTTTTTACATAAATTGAAGTCAGTTTATTTGAAGGTCATTTGTCCATGGACATTTTTACCAATAGAAATTATGTAAGCAGTCATCACATATATATGTGAATGACTAATGTCAAATTGTTGTTGTGTTCACTCTTCTATAGTTGATTTGTACAGATTAGGTTTGTATGAGTGTGTGTATGTATGTTATTTGTCATATGGAAGAATGTCAATTCATATGTGATAAACATGATACTGCATGTTTTTAAAGGTCATGGAGGCTCATAGAGTGTTTATTGTTTTTTCATCTGTCTTGCTTCATAAGAGTTTGCCATATAGGTGATAAGTCTATCCCTTCTTTCCTATTCACTGCATTCGATGTGGTTAAGATGTGCAAGGCTTCAGAAGTCAATCTTTCTTTATGTGAATGAAATCCTCTTCCAAGAATTTCGACATTGTCGAAATCAATCTTATGTCCGCTGTCTATATTGGCACTAATTTTACAGCCAAACATTGCAACAGCACCCCTGATGGTCGGTGAAGGAAGTCAAATTCCTCAATATATATAAGAATAGAACTTGTGCACTGCGGTGGTAGAGTATAATTCCATTGTAGGTAAAATTTGTTTTGATAAAGTCTCACAGTGGTGTTATACAGTAATATTTACTGATGATATGATTATAAGCAATAAAGTGTCCTCGAAATGTGGTTATCAGTAAATATTACTGTATAACAAACACTGTGAGACTTTATCAAAATAAATTTTATCCATAATGGAAGTTGCTTCCAGTTAGATGATATCCAGTAGAATCCCAGTCATCTCAAGTTGAATGTTGTGAATATCCCTTATTACCTAAGCTTAAAATTATACCTTATTATTCTTGTGTGTCATTATTATTATTATTATTACTATTGTTACTATTATTGTCATCACCCTGTTAACAGGCTGAAGGACAACGTCTTTATGGAATCTATGTTAAAGAAATTGTACCGAATGGTGCAGCTGATCGTGATGGACGTCTAAAAACCGGCGATCAAATTCTAGCTATCGGGAATACAAGTCTAATTGGTTGTGCTCAATCAGATGCTGTAGCGAAGATCTCGAAACAAAGTAAACCAGACGATGGTGTCCAACTGGTTATTGCTAAAAAAGCAGCTCAATTTCATAAAATTATTGAATTAATTCGACCTACTAATAACCATATCAGTAGTAGTAATAGTATGAATAACAGTGGTGGGAATAATCATGATAAAAGGAGTACACAGGCTGAAAACAAGAAACACGACCTACGTGATATGCCCTATTTTAATCAGAGTCAACCAGATGTAAGTTTTAATGACTATTATTATTATTATTAAAGTATGGGTTTTTGTAGGGATTTTCCTCGGTAGGTTGGAGGATTTCTTAATGAGCTGACATGAGTTAAAGAACCATTGAAAAACCAGCCACAGGCAGTACTGCCAGACAGCTGTTTCCTCCTGGTTTCTGACTCCGCTCCAGCAGAAGGCAGCCACTGAGGTTAAAACCCAGGATTTTCTGGTTACATGGGGAGATCTCAGACCATTAAGCCACTGACTTCTGAAACCGCTAGCCAAAGTCTTCGGCGAGTATTTGTCCTCACGCCCGACCTACTGTACCCTACTGGTCACGACTCAGTGGTCTACGAGCTCGCTAGCCTTGTAATCAGAAGGTCCTGGGTTCGAACCCTGGCGGTGGATGCGTTCTGATGAAGAGAACCAAGCACTAGGATGAAACAGCTTCCCAGTACTCCCAGCTGGTTTTCCAATTGTTTTTCTAACCGATGTCAGCTCGTGATGAAATCCTGTTACTATTATTATTACTATTGTCTGGCGTGTAATTTTTCTCAACGGTTTCCTCAACGTATGGCTGATCCATCTCCGTTTTCTTCGCCTTGTTTGTTAGGCAGCAGGTTCTCGGTTGGTTGGTTGGTTGGATGGTTGTTTGCTAGACTCGTTTGTTGTTAATCCTTACCCTCCTGCCATCTGATCCTATGTATGGAGCAAAGTGAGCAGTTGTCGATGAAAGTTTGCAGTCTGTATGAAATGCGCCAAGTTTTTGAACTGTACAGACTGACTAATTGACTTGATATAAGTATCAAAATCCTCTGAAACTTTAGGGATTTATCAAAATTTGCGGAACACTTGAACCACAGGAAAGCACAAAGATAGTCACAGTGAATAAGAAATTTCCTTTTTGACAGAGTTACTAACTAAACTGTAAATTCGTCAATATACAACAAAAAGGTGAGAAAGTTTCAGGATGAGTCAGGAGTCAAAAATATAATGATTTTCTTGAGAAAACAGAGTAATTCCAATGGCTGTGACAAAAAAGACGATCAAATGTGCTTCTTTTAGGTACATGGAATTTTCAGATCACAGATCCAGGTGTCTTGATCTCACTCACGTCAAGAGGTTTGATCGAATCTTCTTTGTAAGACTAAAGGATTTCTCAAATGGAGCTGAATGTTTTGATTTCCATCAAAATATACCTAATATCGCCAAACTACTCAATACGTATAAAAGTAGTAAAACTAAATCTTTGAAAAAGGATGTTTCCACCTGTTAAATAATACCATCATTTCAAAAAGCTTCGTCAGATTCAAAGTTTCAAAAATGAGATTTTGTTTTTGGTAAATGTGATTCTGTTCAATAACTGATACTAATCTGACGACATATATTAGTAGTTGATGGTATGTCTCGAAAGTGAATTGCACAACCAACACTGCGGATTCCTTACAGGATTTCATCATGAGCTGACATTGGTTAGAGAACCGTTGGAAAACCTAGGAGTACTGGACAGCTGTTTCGTCCTAGTTTGGGACTCTTCATCAGTACGCGCCCACCGGGATTCGAACCCAGGACCTTCTGGTTACAAGGCGAGCTCGTAGACCATTAAGCCACTCACTGGAACCCAACCGATCCAATGACCAGTCCATGAATTCTAACTTCTGCCAATTCATGACATAGCGCGATCGCTAGCCAATGTCTTCGGCGAGTATTTGTCCTCACACTCGACCTGCTGCACCCTACTGGTCACGACTTCCCACTAGAACTCCAGGTAACACTACCTACCTGAATAGGGCCAGTCGCCAGTGAGCAACTCATCTATATTCACGTATTGGTATTCAAGTATCCTGTAACCAATCAATCAAATCCCTACAAACCAATACCTGGACTTCGGATTCCACTGGTTAAAACTTCTCACTGGAATTCCTGGAAACTTCTTGCTGTAGCCAGTCATTAGTAAACATCCAATTAATTTCCATTTTATGGGGATTTAACTTGTTTCAATTTTGATAGTTGCCTTGAATTCGCCAACGGACGGAAGTTAGAATTTTTAATGGACTAGTGAATTTCATCCCCAGTGGCCGAATGTTCAACGACCTTGTCTTTATACCCTGAAGGTGTTGTGCTCGTCGATGTGTGTACTGACGGAGCGTCTCAAAGTAGGATGAAACATTTGTTCAGTGCTGCCTGGTCTTCAAATTACATCAATCCGTAGTCAACCTTAGCATATTGTTCATTATTACCTAATTGTAAGTGTTGGCGAGATGTTAGGAACAGACTATGTCTGTCTGTCTGCCTGTTTTCAACATAGAACTTTGCACCGATGTGCAGCAGTTCAAGTCGCCACACTCCCTCCATGTAGCACACAAAGCAAGAGAAGAAAGTAACAAGAAATGCAAAACAGAGACAGCAAACAGAGATATGAGGCAAAAAGAATAGTAATATCGAAGAACAATATAGTTTTATTGGATATTATAAGTCACAAGGAGTGGATGTATCTGCGCCAGACATTGACAACGATTTTGTTCCATATCACCGATTGTCTCCAGCGTTCATTGGTTTTTACCGTCCCGAGGACCCCAACCAGCCGGTTAGAATGTCTTCACCTCCCTGCGTGGCTGCCTGGCTTAAACTAACTGTTGTGGATTTCATTGACTGATGAAGCCATGTTTTGGTTTGACCACCACTAGCTAGCTCTTTTCCAACCTGACCTTATGTCAACTAACACTGCCCGTCGAAGAACTATGTAGGAGATTATGTAGGGGACTTTTTAGCGAGCTCAATAACAGAACAAGTATTAGAATAAAAATAATTAGTTGCATTAATTAAACGGTTACTTGGATATACAGTTAAAGTCCACTGGCTACAAATTATTAATATAATCCACAGAAGCGCTCACTGCTGGAGTCGTTCGTGTCTACTGGTAGAAGCTTGTTACTGGTTGTAGAATTGTCTTCGAATGAGGATAATAGGTTCCTGCAATAAATCGAAAGTATACAACATGGTTATGAGTAAAGCAAGTAGATAGTGTAGACTAGTGAGAAGACAAAGCGACCAACAGTACACTGTATGTTTATATTGTACTCGGAAGTTATTTATATTCCAACATGAATCGTTTTCAACAAAAGTCATGTACAATGTTTCTAATTTCAACATCTAACAAAAGATCTCAACTTCATCGACTTCCGAAAGGCCACCGACAATTATACATCTTATCAAACAGCTGTACGACAATGCTCAATGCCAAGTAATCCACAATGGGAAACTTACGGAATCCCTCGAAGTGAGGACAGTAGTAAGACAAGGCTGCCTACTATCGCCAATGATCTTCCTGATTGCAGTAGACTGGATCATGCGACAAACAGTGGGCAATGAGGAAACAGGCATAAAATGGACTCACACAAAAAACTTGGAGGATCTGGACTTCGCCGATGATATATGTCTGATTTCCCACAAACTGGAAGATGTGCAAATGGAAAGCAACAAGTTGGAAGAAGAAACATCAACGATAGCAAGGACTTCAAGTGAACATAGAGAAAACAGAGGTGATGAAGATTCCTGGCCAACATGACCAACAGCAACAACAACAACAGACAACAATCAGCATAAGTGGGAGGAACCTGAAAGAAACAACCTCCTTCACCTACCTACCTGGGAAGCATCGTTTCAACTACAGGCCGGCGGAACTGACGAGGATATCAAAGCAAGAATCGGAAAAGCAAGACAAGCTTTCACTACCTACTCTCAAGTCTGTGTGGAGGTCAACAGCACTCACCATCAAAAATAAGATCCGGATTTTCAACTCCAATGTGAAGTCAGTGCTACTATACGGATCAGAGACTTGGCCAGCGCGTCATAAAGAGTATCTCAAACAAACTACAGACCTTCATCAACAGTTGTCTTCGCTCAATACTCAAGATCAGATGGCCGGCCAGAAAAGATCAGCAACAGAGGGAGATCTATGGCAATGAGCGAGCCAACCCAACAGGAACCGATTGTGAAACCAATAAGCAGGAAGAAATGGAGATGGATTGGCCATACTCTAAGGAAACAAGCCATCAAGTGGCATCACTAGACAAGCCATTGCTCGAGTGGAACCCGAAAGGGAAGCGGCGAGTTGGTCGTCAGTGTGAGGGTGACTTGGAGGAGGTCATGTGGAGAGGAGATGAAAACGTGTGGGCAGACTTGGAGCCAGGTGAAGACTCTAGCAGAGAACCGAACGCAATGGAGACGCATGGCTGAAGCCCTATGTTCCTCTAGGAATTACAGGAAACAATAATAATAATATAATAACAAAAGATTGTACAATCATAGTGTTACGTACTCCATGATCATGTAGGCTAATTTCTCAGGAATCAACCAGTTCTATGACCAAAGCGTAGATGGGCTATAATTTATGGCCATATTACAATTAGACACGTAACTTATAGTGGACTTTAAGAATAAATGGCTTCATAGTTGTCCAAACAATGAAAGTAATTGGCGTGATAGATTGAGAAATGCTCCAAGCTGAGGTTTCATCAACAAACTAGTCATCGCATACAAACACTGGACATCAGTGATGACCTACTCTTTTTTCTGAATCATAAAATGTATATATAACAGTCCTTTTTAGTAAGTATTTTATTTTAATATTATCTCGCGCACTTTTTCGTTTCTTAGCTTCGTATCGAAAATCAACAAAACCAGCCTTCTACAGACAATCACTTGCGAAGTACAATAGATCATAAAAAGTCGAACAGCACTGATCATCGACCTGTTTCTCAACGTCTTCGTCATCAACAGCATCCTCAGAACCCACCTCCACAACAACAACAACAACAACCGAAGCACAACACTAACACCCGTCCAAATCATCCTTCTGTAAATAAAGCTAAGAGATTGGATCAGTCAAGACAGAAAATCGGTTCTTTAAGTCGTTCTACGCCATCGTTAAATTTAGCTGAAATTGGAATGAATGATGAAGCAAGTGAACTAGAAGATCATGATGGTTACAAAGATGATCATCAGAAATCAAGTAAACAACATCCTTCAGGGAAACAACATTCATCAAGAAGTCGTACACATTTCCCAGAGAAAATCAATAGGGTATGATTTGAAGTTATTTTTTCTATTTTCGCTACCACCTTCTCTGTAGTGTTTTAAAGTGCTCTAGAATTACAGTATTTAGGGAAAGACTGCCAGCTGACAAATGGTTCATAAGTCAAGTCCTAATTGCTTGTCAAAGACTATTGATTAGACTTGTAAAATATCAAATAACACTAGTAATGTAACGACAGAAGACAAGGGTTAGGCAACAGATTATTTATTGAGAAAATCAAGAGATATTTATAGATTTTTATGTACATTATTGTCAGTGGAGAAGCAACGTCTTCTGATTGGTTGTTTCCTTGTTGAAGGTTATTCTGCACTGCTTGTGACCGCTTCTTAGAAAGTTAAGCCATATATCTGCGAATCGTATTTGCACACGTTAAGTCTGCTGTGACTGGTTGATGAGATGCTCAAGGTTAAACTTTGTTATTGTGTTTTCTCATGATCCCCATTTTAGACGTAAAATTGACGTAAATTTCTGTATACAGTTTTTAGCTTATAGCTAGCTCTCACCACAGTAATATTATTGTTATTCTGTTGGGTTCCCGGTGGAGTATAACGCTTTAACAGTACATCTTCATTTGTTCCTTGAAGTGGTCTTTAGCTGCCTCCATGGTTGCTTGCAAGCCTTCCACGATCCTCTTCACTTCACCGTCGGACGTCTAACCTGCTGTTTCCTGTCCAGATTCCACACGACAGTCTTCTTAACGGGAATCCAGATTAACTCCATCTCCTTCTGTATTTTTGTTAGACAAGGAGTTCTTGGTTGGTTAGCTCACAGAGTTCCTTGTTGTTTGTTCTTTCTGGCCGGTCATCTGATCGTCAGTATGGGGAGAAGGGAAAAACTGTTGGGGGAAGTCTACCGTCTTCAGTGGCACTAATTGATTTGACAGTAGTGTTGAAAATCCGAATCTTGTTCTATATCCTGATTTCAGAGTGATCAAGGCGTGTCTTGCTTTTCCAATTCTGCCTTTGCTATCCTTATCCATGCCGTCTGTCTGTTGTTGAAAAGATACTGCCTAAATAAGTGAGAGGAGTGACCTCGTTTGAGTACCTTCCATTGACAGTGATTGGCATTTGTTGTTGTTGCTGTTGGTTTGGTTGGTTGGTTTGTGGGTTATCTTCATCACCTCTATCTTCTTTATGTTCACTTGATGTTCTTTTTATGATCACCGAGATCCAAATCTTCTAGAGTCTTCGTGTCACTGTCCAACGTATCACTGCCTTATTGCTGGTCAATGTCTTCATACACTTTTAATTCATTTCGATTGGTTAGAGGATTTCATCATGAGCTAACATCAGTTAGAGAATGATTGGAAAACCAGCCACATGAAGTACTGCCAGACAGATAGCTGTTTCGTCCTAGTGCTTGTGACTTTTCAGCAGTACGCAGCAGTACTCACCTCCAGGGTTCGAACCCGGGACCTTCTGGTTACAAGGCTGGCTAGCGAGCTTGTAGACCATTAAGCCACTCACTGGGACCCAACCGATCCAGTGACCAGTCCATGAATTCTAACTTCTGCCAATTCACGACATAGCGTGACCACTTCGCAATGTCTTCTTCGGTGAGTAGTAAATGTTCTCGCCTTCAACCTTCTGTACCTTATTAGTCACGGATTTCTCTGATGTCGAGCTTACTGAGTACTCTTCTGATATCGTCTGACGTCTGTGATCTATATGGAATGACAACTGTTAAGGTTCATGTTTTTGGGATACGTTTTCGACCATACTTAATGTCAGTGTTGCGTTTGTTGATGAAGCTCTTTGAGTAGTTGTTTTGCTTGAGAGTCTCAGTACTATTTGATTTTTATTCTTCTTTTTCTTTCTCATCCGTTATCAGAGAGTGTGCTCGTTTAAGAAGACTTGAAACAACTGATATCTTTGCGCTGATGGGGTGTGGTAATCCGAAGTCTAAATATTTGTTGTTGGAGTGGGTTTTCTTCCTGAATATAGATATACTAAAATGTCCGTTTTCCCTCCTCTTAACCAACGTCTGATTCTGCTTCCTAAGTTAACTGGTTTCTGGAAGATAGATTGTTTATTTTCTTCAAGAATGAACTGTGTAGATCTCGTTTTAGCACTACAAAAGTATCATTTACATATCTTAACCATATTTTAGGAGTGTGTATGCTTGAAAAGAAGCAAAAAAGGACAAACTGGTCGAAGAAGCAGCAAAGACAGGACTCCAGGTGAACATAGACAAGACGGAGGATATGAAAATAACCAACCAACAACAACAACAGCAGCAGCAACATCCAGCCCCAATCACCATCAACGGGAGAGATTTGAAAGAGGTTACTTCATTCACTTATCTAGGGAGGGAGCATTGTCTAAACTAAACGAGGAACGGACGAGGATGTCAAATCGAGAATCGGGAAGGTGAGAAACACATTCATTAACCTGAAACCAATCTGGAAATCTTCGTCACTCAACTCAGCATCAACAACAAAATGATTCGGATTTTCAATACAAACGTCAAGTCAGTCAGTTCTTCTATACGGATGGATCAGAAAGTTGGCGGGTCACAAAGAATATTTCCAACAGCCTGTTGCAGATCTTTATCAACAGCTGTCTTCGCTCTATACTGAAGATTAGATGGCCGGAAAGAATCACCAACAAGAAACTATGGGAAGAAACAAAACAAGAACCAATCGCCCAACAAATATGCAGGAGAAAGTGGGGATGGATTAGACACTCGCTGAGGAGGCCGTTGGGTGACATCGCGCGTCAGGCCATAGCTCGAGTGGGACCGGAAAGGGAAGCGGCGAGTGGGACATCCAAGGGTTACATGGAGGAGATCGTGTGAAGAGGAGTTGAAACAGTATGGACTAACATGGATGCAAGTGAAAAGCACAGCAGAAGACAGAATCAAGTGGAGGCGTGCAGTTGAAGCCCTATGTTCCACTAGGAACCCAAGGGAACAATAACAATAATGCTTGAAAAGATGTTATCTTCGAATCTATTCATGAAAAGATCAGCGACTATTAGGGAAACTGGTGGTTACGTATACCCTGTAATATTATTTTTGTTTGTCTTAGTTTTTGCTGTTGTCGAGTAACTGAGATGGAATATTGTACCAAATGCTGAAAATTCCACACTGTGTCACAAGTACTTATACGTAATACATAATGTTGTTCTCTAAAGTCTAGTTAGTAATCAAATCCAGTTGTCTTTGTTCTCCATAAACCTTTTATATAAGTGAATATTGTATACTCTACTGTAAATGTTGTACTCATAAATACTCCCTTTTCTCTCTCTCAAAATACTGCATATTTAGCCTCAGAGTGTAGATGCTAGTCGACACCGTTCCCAGTCACGTTCCACACCATCCTCTCCATCATCACTGAGTGAAACTACATCCTCTGAATCAGATATCATTATAAATAATCCCGAAGAAGAAGAAGAGAACGAACATCAAAGACATCAACCTATACAGCATCAAGAAGAAGAACAACAACATCAACATGGATACAACGGTGGATATCGAAGGACACAGACTCCAACGGAATCATTAAAACAGCATAAAATCAGTAAACGGTCAACTGCTTCACCGTCAATCTCCTCACATCTTCTTCCACAAGAGAATTTTCATTCACAACCAAATATTTTAAAGAAAGCCTACCTGGATAACACGGATAATTACGATAAAAATTCTCTAGTGAACAGTGATGGCGCCGCCTATCCACAATATCATCAAGAGAAATCTTTACAACCTATTATTATGGCAGAATCTATATCAAATGATTTTACAAGTTTAGAGTCCGTGAGCAGTGGTCAACAGACGGTTTGTAGTTTGAATGAATCCCAGCCAATGACCGACGATAATCATGATAAAATGCCGAAATCCAATAGTCATGAAACTCGACGAGTTCGTCATCAACCGCCGCCACCACCACCACCTCCCCCTCCGTCAACATCCTCAACAGCTCCGCCTACAAATTACTGTAAGTACCATTTAATTCTATTGATTTTGTTTTCTCAAATATTTTTTTTCCCAATTCCATTTTGTACGTCGGTGGCATAGCGGTTAGGACACTCGCCGACCATGCACATGGTCCGGGGTTCGATCCCCGGCCACTGGACGCACTCCTTTACCTCGCTAAGCCAGAAATAATGCTGGTGAAGAGGAAAGGTTGGGCGTGAGGGCTAGCAACCCCATCCTGTAAAAATAAACACTGCTACAGAAACTTCAAGCCACTAGCTTGAAGCCCTATGTTCCACTGGGGAACGTGAAGATAAAAAAAATTTTGTACTGAGGCTCGAATCTTGAAGTTTCAGTAGCGTTGGAATTCCCTTTTTTTACGAGGTGAGTTTGCTAGCCTCACTCACTACAACACTCCTTCTTTACCGGGCTTACTACCGGTTCTAAGCGACATTTGGGAGTGCGTCAACCGGTTGGGAGTCGAATTCAGGCCACGTGCATTGTGGTTAACTAATCTATTCGATCACTTGCCTAAAAGAATGCTTTAAATACATGTCATTGTCAACTTCGTCAACGGGTGACATCAGTTAGGGAGTCACTGAAAAGCATAGAGCGCCAGACAGTTGCTTCGTCCCAGTATAGGGCACTACAGCAGTGTTTACAAACTCTCTCTCAATCAGGGGTTGAATTGAACGCCTTCAGGGAAGACCTGACTAAAACCCAGTGATCCTTTAACAATGCAGTTAATGCCGTCCAAGAGCATTCCGTTCACATTCTACAACGACTTCTTATTATGAAGAACTTCGACAAATTCGATTACTTCTAAATGTAGGGCTTATATCAAACTGACATCACTAACTGATTCATCGAATTCAGAACCTTCAGCGCTTGTGATTCTCTATGGGATCGTTGGTGTATATTGGGGTGAATTGCCACACACTTTTGTAGAACAACTGTCCACTAATCCACGGTTTCCAATGATTCATTAATATAGATATCAAGTATTGGTTTTGAAGGCATTTTGTTTGATTACATGGAGGATTTCATCATGAGCTGACATCAGTTGGAGAACCACTGGAAAACCTGGGAGTACTGGACAGCTGTTTCGCCCTGGTTTGGGACTCTTCATCAGTACGCAGCAGCAGGAACTGTAAGGTCCTGGGTTCGAATCTCAGTGGGTGCGTACTGATGAAGAGTCCCAAACTAGGACGAAACAGCTGTCCAGTACCCCCAGGTTTTCCAGTGGTTCTCTAACTGATGTCAGCTCATGATGAAGTCCTCCATGCAATATAGATATCAGTTTGTGACGCAATTTACAAAAGTCCCACCAAACTCCAAACGTTTTTACACATATATGACCATTGGGTGCATTGGTTCTTGTATAGGTTGATTTCGGATTTTAAGATTCATTGCCTTGGGATAGAAGGCTCGAAGCCCACGTTAACCCTTTTCTAATGAATTTACATGCCTGTTTATACTCTTCTTGAACGAGTCATTTTAGGGCACACTAACACTACTTCATCTGAGAGTTGGTTCCAAGTGCTTATTATTCGGTGGAGGAACCAGTATTCCCAGTGATATAGTTCCCTCTCGGCTTTTAAAGTCTCCTGCTATGTCCTCTGAGGTGTTCTGAACTGGTCGGAGGGGACAAAGAAGAAGCTAGACTAAGTCTATAGTCATTTTTGAGAATTTTAAATATTGTAATGAGATCTTTCTATTTGCCTTCAGTATGACAAGAAGAAGAAAACATTCAAACTGTTAAGTCTTTCCTCGTATGTATAGTTTCTCATACCACGAATCGTATATGTTGCCTTCCTTTGGACTCTTTCTAGAATGTATGATTCCTCTTAAGACAAAGGCTGGATGACTGGATGCTGTTTTCCAGTTTTGACCTCAGTAGAGATGTGTACATAGAAGTGACCATATCACTGATTAAACTAGCTTGAGCTCGTGACTTATTATAACACCAAGATCCATATGAGTCTGAACTGATGGGAGTGTTATTCCTCCTATTTCGTATGAGCTGATGCTCACGTAACCAATAAGCATAGTTACGCAGTTCGCTACGTTGATTGGGAGTACCCATTCTTTGGACCAATTCAACCAGCTTTTCAGATATCCTTGTAATTGTTAGCATATCATTAACACCATTCAAATCTCTCCGAATTATTAGGTCGTCTGCGTAGAGAACCATCGAATATTGAGTCGATAATTCATTGATATACCAGATAAATAAGACGAGGTGGAGTACGGTTCCCTGAGGCACTCCCCTATGTATCGCTATCCAGGAGGAGAGTTTCGAATTGATCCTAACTCTCTATCTCCTACTTATGAGGAATTCCCTAATCCAGTCTAGTAAGCCGGCCGTTAGTTCGAAGACTGTCCAATTTCATACAATGATTCCCTTTTATAAATTTGAACAAAGAAAGAAGAAACATTGGCGCAGAATAATCTGGATCCATTTTATTTCGTTGGTTCTCATCAGCTGCGTACAACCTGAATTCTTTAATAAAATAAAAATAAAAGTGTACAATTTTAACAAACTTTTGTCCATTAGCAAGCATATTGTCAGAGCGTCATAGTGAAATAAGGCGTTGCGATTTACAAGGTGTCTAAAGTGTTACGACATATATATATCTTGTTAGAGAGAAGTTTCTTGAAAAAAATTAACTAACAGTTGTGTTGTTGGGGTGGTAACAAAAGAAAATAAGTAACGGTTACGTAATCAGATAAGAGAAGATCAAAATTTCGGTGCACATGAGGTCAGATGAGAAGTTGATGATGTAATACAGTGAGCAGAACTCAGAAGATCAAGAAAAATTATCTCTTAAGAGAGTCAAGCGAAAAATAAAGAGGGGGGAGTGGGAGTGAAAAGATAAGTTAACAAAATTTCATGAACAGTCTTGAGTCAGGTCTAATGTTGTTTGAATATTTCTCTGACTTTTCCCGATACAAGTTACGCTAGAATGGATTGACCTCAGAAAAATGATAAATTCAGAGAGCAATTTTGAGTACAGAAAGAAACAGTGTTAATTACAGGATAATACAAGCTCATTTTATTTCGTGAACTGATTCTCCTCAAACTGCGTACATCCTAAATAAATCAATAATATATGTGTTACAAGATGGTGTCTGAACATACTTTTTTGCAATGATCTCAAGTTATAGATAGAAAATAGTATGAGCAACATAATTTCAAAGATGATGTAAGTAGACAATTATCTAGTGTCTGGTAACCCTAATTGTTTTGTTCGTGTGCTTTTGTGTTTTGTTCTGATGATGCTGCATAACATTCCACTCAATCTTGAGTTTGATTTTCACTCACTCACTCACTCACTCACTCACTCACTCACTCACTCACTCACTCACTCACTCACTCACTCACTCACTCACTCACTCACTCACTGAGTTGTACTCACTATTATTAAGGTTTCTAATCTATTAAGTTAAATTATTTTCATCATGAGGTGACATTAGTTAGAGAACCATTGGAAAACCATCTGGGAGTACTGGACAGCTGTTTCGTCCTAGTTTGGGACTCTTCATCAGCACGCACCCATCGGGATTCGAACCCAGGACCTTCTGGTTACAAGGCGAGCTCGTATACCATTAAGCCACTGGGACCTGATCCAATGGCCCATGAATTCTAACTTCTGCCAATTCACGACATAGCGCGATCGCTAGCCAATGTCTTCGGCGAGTATTTGTCCTCACACTCGACCTGCTGCACCCTACTGGTCACGACTTCTCACTAGAACCCCAGTTAACTATCTACCTGAATAGGGCAAGTCGCTAGTGAGCATCTCATTGATATTCAAGTGTCGCCTTGTAACCAGAAGGTCCTGGGTTCGAATCCCGGTGGGTACGTACTGCTGAAGGGCCCCAAACTAGGACGAAACAGCTGTCCAGTACTCCCAGGTTTTCCAATGGTTCTCTAACTAATGTCACCTCATGATGAAATCCTGTAACCAATCAATCAAATCCCTACAAACCAACCCTTAAATTATTTTATCTATTTTATAATTTTACTTCAATATTCATCAGACCCACCCTCCTCAACTCTCCACCATAATATGTATAAATTAACTCTGTCGTTACATCTTGTAGTTTTTTCTCTAGTCCATCCTTGTTTCCTAGAAAAGTCTGAACTCCACCTCGTTGTCTAATCAGTATAAAGATGGTTACTCTTTTAACACACTAAATAATTGTCTACTTACATCATCTTTGAAATTATGTTGCTTATACCACTTTCTATGTATAACTTCAGGTCATTGTAAAAAAAGTATGTTCAGACACCATCTTGTAACATGTATATTATTGATTTATTTAGCATGTACGCAGTTTGGGGAGAATCAATCCACGAAATAAAACGAGCTCGTATTATGCTGTCTGCAAATAATGTTCGTTCTTTCTGTACTCAAAATAGCTCTCTGAATTTATCATTTTTGTGAGGTCAATCCATTCTAGCGTAGCTTGTATCGGGAAAAGTCAGAGAAATATTCAAACAACATTAGACCTGACTCAAGACTGTTCATGAAATTTTGTTAACTTATCTTTTCACTCCCACTCCCCCCTTTATTTTTCGCTTGTCTCTCTTAAGAGATAATTTTTCTTGATCTTCTGAGTTCTGCTCACTGTATTACATCATCAACTTCTCATCTGACCTCATGTGCACCGAAATTTTGATATTTTATTTACCCCAACAACACAACTGTTAATTAATTTTTTTCAAGAAACTTCTCTCTAACAAGATATATATATATATATCGTAACACTTTAGACACCTTGTAGATCGCAACTCCTTATTTTACTATGACGCTCTGACAATATGCTTGCTAATGAACAAAATTTTGTTAAAATTGTACACTTTTGTTTTTTTAATTTTATTAAAGAATTCAGGTTGTACGCAGCTGCTGGTGAGAACCGACGAAATAAAATGGATCCATATTATTCTGCGCCAATGTTTCTTCTTTCTTTGTTCAAATTTATGAAAAAAGGGAATCATTGTATGAAATTGGACAGTCTTTGAATTAACGACCGGCTTACTAGACTAGATTAGGGAATTCCTCATAAGTAGGAGATAGAGAGTTAGGATCAATTCGAAACTCTCCTCCTGGATAGCGATACATAGGGGAGTGCCACAGGGAACCGTACTCCACCTCGTCTTATTTATCTGGTATATCAATGAATTATCTGGGCTCACCGAATATTCGATGGTTCTCTACGCAGACGACCTAATAATTCGGAGAGATTTGAATGGTGTTAATGATATGCTAACAATTACAAGGATATCTCAAAAGTTGGTTGGTTGGTTGGTCCAAAGAATGGGTGCTCCCAATCAACGTAGCAAACTGCGTAACCATGTTTATTGGTCACGTAAGCATCAGCTCATACGAAATAGAAGGAATAACACTCCCATCACTTCAGACTCATATGGATCTTGGTGTTATAATAAGTCAGGAGTTAAAAGCTACAGTACACTGTCATGCAGCGGCAGCTCAAAGTTTCACATCATTGTGGTTAATACGCAGATTTTTTTATTAGTATAATCAGTGATATGTTCACTTCTATGTACACACATCTCTTGGAAACACGGATGGATCAGGAGACAAAATACAAGATAGAGAACACCACAGAGTTAATTTATACATATTATGGTGGAGAGTTCAGGAGAGTGGGTGGGATGAATAGTAAAGTAAAATTATAAATTAGATAAGGTAATTTAATTTAATAGATTTGATACCTTAATAATAGTGAGTTCAACTCAGGGAGTGGGTGAGTGAGTGAAAATCAAACTCAAGATTGATTGGGATGTTACGCAACAGAATAAAACACAAAAGCACACGAACAAAACAATTACGGTTACCAGACACTAAATAATTGTCTACTTACATCATCTTTGAAATTATGTTGCTTATACTACTTTCTATCTATAACTTGAAATCACTGTAAAAAAAAGTATGTTCAGACACCATCTTGTAACATATATTATTGATTTTTTTTAGGATGTGTGCAGCTGAAGAGAATCCGGGAAATAAAACGAGCTCATATTATCAAAACTGCAAATAGAGTTCGTTCTTTCTTTATTTATTTAAACTAATAAACGCAACCGGCTGTATGAAATTAGAAAGTTATTATCAAAAAAGAGAAACAGTCATATTATTGATAAATACCAGTTAAAATGGCACTGTAAATTTAGATAGACGTTTCCAGATACCCATGGGCGTCGAGCTGTAGTTGGTGTCAAGTGAGATCGCTAACTGATATATCAGTTAGGGCGAGCCATGGAAAACTGTTGAAAAGAGTTGCAAGCCCCTTCGATGAAACAGGTGTATTGTACTGCCTGCCGATTTTCAATGCTTCTGTTACTGATGGTTAGTGTTAGAGCTGTATAATACGCCAAATGGTCAGAAGTCAGAAGTGATAGGCTATGGGATTCTGTCCTAGTGGCACAATAATTGTCTACGAGCTCACCGCCTTGTAACCTGAAGGTCTCGAGTTCGACCACCTGGTGGAGTGTTTGTGGTTAAGTACCTTGAAGAGTCTCAAACTGGGACGAAACAGCTCTGTTCAGTAGTCTGTGGTGTTTTACAATGGTTCTTTAACTGTTCTTTATCCATCCTGTAACCAATCAAATCTCTGAAAATCCACACTTGATAACTTTTGTTAGTTTTCGGGAGTTTGTTTGTGGGAAACTTGTCTGTTTCAAGTTTTTGATCACGGATGGATATCAGCTAGAAAATCAATGAAAACCAGCTCGAAATACTGAACAGCTGTTTCGTCATAGTTTGGGACTCATCTGCAGTACCCACACGGTGGGTTTCGAGCCCAGGGTCTCCTGATTTCAAGGCAGGCTCGTAGACCATTCAGTCACTGGGACCCGACTCATTGGCCAGCTTATGAATTCTAACTTCTTGATTTCATCATGAACTGGACAGCTGTTTCCTATTAGTTTGGGACTCTTCAGCAGTACGCACCCACTGGGTTTTCCAATGGTCCTCTAACCGGTGACAGTTCATGATGAAATCCTGAAACAAATCAAATCAGATCCCTGCTGCAAACCAACACTTGAGTATCAAAATGATGCTCACTAGCGACTGGCCCTGTTCAGGTTTGTAGTTACCTGGATTATATTAGGAAGTCATGACCAGTGGGGTACAGCAAGTTTGCGTGTACCGATGACAGTGACTGGTTGGGGGGCCATATCGTGAAATGGCAGAAGTTGGAATTCATGGATTGGCCATTGGATCAGGTCCCGATCGTGGCTTAATGGTCTACGAGCTAGCTCACCTTGTAACCAGATGGTCCTGTGTTCGAACGTCAGTGGGGTGGGTGCTTACTACTGAAGAGTTCAAAGTAGTAGGTTGAGGAAACAGCTGTCTGGCAATACTCCATGTGGCTGGTTTTCCAATTGTTCTCTAACCGATGTCTGTGTCATGATGAAGTCTTGAGACCAACGAAATCCCTGCAAAATAACACTTGAATTCTAACATCTACCAATTCGTGAGTATTTGTAGTCACACACACACACCCCACTACCAGGGTGGAACCAACTAGTCACGACTTGTTACATCAGTTCTCATATGTTAGTTTGTGATGAACACTCTTCCAATAAACAATGTTGGTTGTTTTCTATCAGATGTTCTAAGATGGAGCTGCGGGGGCATCGATTTTCTCCTTTGTAAAACCATGCTGGTAAGTGCTCAGTGATACGTTTGGAAAGCGAGCGCTGGGTACGGCCGACATACCTGGCTCCACACGAGCAGGTGAATTGATAAATGCACATTGATGAGGCCAGCAGCGGTAGCTTATCCTTCACGTTCACATGAATCATAGGTTTTGTGGAGAAGGTTAGTCGTAGTTCAGCTGCGAAGAAGGTCTACTTATCAATTCACCTGCTCGTGTGGAGCCAGGTATGTCGGCCGTACCCAGCGCTCGCTTTCCAAACGTATCACTGAGCACTTACCAGCATGGTTTTACAAAGGAGAAAATCGATGCCCCCGCAGCTCCATCTTAGAACATCTGATAGAATCCGGACACCAAGCTACACCGCAAACAAACTTCAAAGTCGTCTACAGAGTAAGAAGTAGTCTCCCTAAAGATGTTGGTTGTTTTCTGCACTACTTCAAAACGTGTTGATTAGATTTAGACACCTGTGTTTCTCACTGTCACATATATTCTAACACTTCTTATGTAATATTCTGTCTGTATTATTACGTAATCAGTTGTAATAATAACAGTATATTGCATGATTATTATTATTAATTATATTTGTGCCATTTTTTATGTATCAATGAACTCGTTCACATATAAAGGTCACTAAATTAGGCGTAGAGACATACAGACACATCCATACAAACAGGCATACACGTACACATACATACATTACAAACAGATCTGATTGGACGAATACTGTTCATTTTTGAACCTGGATCAATTATGAGTAGGCACTATGAAATCAATATTCTGTATATATATATATATATAAAGTTATTTTTTTAAAAAGTCACTAACGAAGGAGTGGAATAGTGAGAACTGTGTTCACATAAATATATACATATATATATGTGTATCTCCTAAGTCGTAAAACGTTGAACGCTATTCACTGACAAAATGTCCGACTACAAAAAGAACAACAACGCCACCGCCAGCTCCGCTGATGATACCTGCCTTTATCAAGATATTTTTACCTATTTTCGTTATCAAGCTACAAAGAATGAAATGTTGACAACAAGGAAAGATGCTCAAGGGAATTGGAAACCTGCATGGCGTGAAACAGACTTGGATCGTTGTAATGGTCAGGAATTAAATGTTGACAATCATAGTAATAATAATAATAATAATGGTGACATTAATGAAAGGAATCAGCGTAGACTGATGCATAATAATATTGACAGTGTGCCTTCTGTGGATGAAATTCAAGAGAAACATGAAATTTCAAGGTGAGGAATATTTATTTTTTATAAAGTATCCATTAGTGTTATTATTATTATTACTGTTAATGCTGTCTCAATCTTAAATACTGAGTGTTAGTGATAGGTGGATTCCAGTTGCTAAGTTACGGAATCGAATCGCGCTCTAGTCAAATAGTTATCAAGTAATGATGTTTTGTATTGTTGTATTTGTATTTGTATTATTGTCTCTAACGGTATTACATGGTGATTAAGGTTCGAATATCAGGGGAGATATGAATTCTTTCAAGATGGAGGGTATGCCTTCCATGCTGAGGAGTCCCGATTGCGTCGAAACCATCTTCTGATGTCGATAATCTATCTATCTATCTATCCAGCGATAACTATACCTGAAAATAGTTCTTGATTATTAATCCTAGAAATTTGGTGTAACTGGAGTGTTCCTTAATGGTAGGACTGATGAAGTGTGTTTCGTCCAATGTATTCCCTCCCCCCTCAGTTTTATATGCCTGAATATTAGTTAGGATTATTTCGATAGGAATATCACTGATGAAAATATGTAAACTATCTTATAATGAACCTGGTTTCTCACAAACTGGAAGATATGCAAGTGATGAAAAGCAACAAGTTGGCAGAAGAGGCATCAAAGAAAGATAGGAATTCAGGTGAACATAGAGAAGACAGAGCTGCTGATGAAGATTCCTGAAAGAGGCAACCTCCTTCACCTACCCACCTACCTGGGAATCACCTTCTCAACTACAGGCGGACGGGACTGATGAGGATATGAAAGCGAGGATCGGGAAAGCAAGGCAAGCAGCACTCAGCATGCAAAATAATATCGGGATTTTCAATTCCAATGTGAAGTCAGTGCTACTTACTGTACGGATCAAAGACTTGGCTCTGCACGTCGGACAAACTACAGACTTTCACCATCAGTCGTCTTCGCTCAATACTTCGCTCAAGACCAGATGGCTTGCCAGAAAGCATCACCAGCAGGGATCTCTGGCACTGAGCGAACCAACCCAGCAGGAACCAATTATGCAACAAATAAGCAGGAAGAGATGGAGGTGGATTGGCTATACTCTGAGAAAAAAATCATCAAGTGAGTGACATCACACGCCAGGCCATCGCTCGAGTGGAACCAGACAGGATATGAAGTGGCGAGATGGTCCTAAATGTGAGGATGACATGGAGGAGATGATTCGAAGAGAGGAGATGGAAGCATATGGGGAGACGTGGAGGTAGGTGAAAAGCTTGTCGGAGAAGGGAACGCAATGGAGTTGCGCGACTGAAGCCCTATGTTCCTCTAGGAACTAAAGGAAACGATAATAATATAAATGCCAATATTAGCATGTGACCTGAAGTTTGATCTACAAGGCAGTAAAGTAGCGTCAGGAATTGCGTCCCCATGGTTGCCGGTGACCAAGACAGGTGCATATACTGTTCGATCTTTTCGGATTATGGAGCTCAAATACACTTTATGAGGTTTGGAATCAGGGTTTTCTAGCTCCCCTACTAAATAGATTAGCATGTCCACCAAACGTTTCCATTAGCTCTTTCAAGTGTATGAGAAACACGCCTAGCTGAAGCTATGATGAACGCGTGGGCAGTCGAGAGCATTTCGAGGGAAATTTCGTAGTTTACACCACCCCCTCGATTTACCAGGTCGTTCGTTCATGGATGCTATCATATGATATCAGGTGACAAATTTGGCTGATTGTTTAACGGGTGAACATACCTATTGGCTTATGAACAGACATATGAATGTGTGTATGTATGCATACAGCGGTAGAACAACTCCCTGTAGATTGTTTTAAACAATAATTTTTCCCGCCAAAAATGTTTCAGTTCACTCGTGAGTTCTTAATTATCACAAAAACTGATTTTACAATAAGGAACCAATTATTATTATTATTCGTTGAATTAACTCGGCCGCCATTACTGAAATTTCTTTTCGACCTAAGACTCTTTAATCTTACCTCTCTACTTGAAATCATTGGGGGGCCATAGGTTTGAACTCTACGTCACCTACTGAAGTTTGAGAGCAGCCCTCCGGATTTATATCTCCGACCATCACATAATAGGTGTGGCCGATAGCCACAATAGTTGTTGATAAAGTTTGTCTAAGATTTTTTTCACCTTTTCCATGACACACATCATGTATTCGTTTTATAGGGATTTCGTTAGTTTGATTGGTTGAAGGATTCCATCATGAGCTGACATCCGTTAGAGAATCATTGGAAAATCAGCTGGCAGTACCGACAGACAGACACCTGTTTCGTCAGCTTAGTTTAAGATTCTTCATCAGCACGCATCCACACCACATAGTTCTTACCCAGGACCTTCTGGTTACAAGGCGAGCTAGCTTGTAGACCATTAAGCCACTCACTGGGACCCGATCCAATGGCCAGCCGATGAATCCGAACTTCTGCGAATTCATGACATAGCGCGACCGCTTCGTAATGTCTTCTTCGATGAGTTACTGCCTCACCTTGAACGTGCTGTAGCCTACTGGATGAAACAGCTGTCTGGCAGTACTCCCAGCTGGTTTTCCAATGGTTCTCTAAGTGATGTCAGCTCAAGATGGAATCTTCAAACCATAAGCATATATATATATGTATATAATTCCAAAGAATTTATTAAATCTTATCTAACCACATAAATACTCATATAGAAACAGTTCGCCAACATTTTTCAAAAATACTAACCATAATCCAACTGAGCAGAGCATCTATCTTCCACGTCCATTTGAGAATACTACCTCGTCTCGAATAATAAATGATCAGCCTGTTGAAGAAACACGACAGAATAATAATACAATAGCCACAATTGGACAATATGACAGTTCAAATGAAAATCACTTGAAAGCTAATAATTTGTCATCATCAATAGCTAGTTACCATCAAAATAATTCTACGACAAATTCATTGATGTATGAAGAGGAACCAGCTTCAGAGGCGTTAAAACCACCTTCACATGCTGTCGTATCGATTAATCGATGGAATGAAGAGTCTATGACGATGGTCAGTGGACCAGTTGTACAAACAGATCTTCCAAATGTACATATAGATCCTCAACGTGGTCGGTAAGTAGTAGTAGTAGTAGTAGTAGTTGCAGTAGTAGTCGTTGTAGTGGTGCTTGTAGTCATAGTATACTTGTTCAACACTAAAGGTGGATCTTGTCAATGTCAACGTCTAATGCATGTACCTATGCACATACACACACACAAATACAAAGATATGCACATATATAACACTTATATTATGCACTCTATGTATTTAGCTGATGGGTTAAATCTTTTTTTTAGTAATGAGGTGTTCGGTTTTTTCTGTGTGACGGTGTGGGTGTTTTATTTTGGTTTCATTTGTAGTTCATAATTGTGTTAAATGTTCCCGTAGTTTTTGTACAAGTTTTCTTGTTGTACTTACAAATTTGAACTTAGTCGATTTTAATGCACTCCATATTCATATCCTTACTCCCACTTACTTAAACCTAAAGAACTAAGTGTGGCTGTCACGCTCCACCCCACCCACCCCCTGAATAATAACTGTAAGACTCATAACCTACCTGGTACATTGGAAATTTGATCTTGGCCACCTTACAGTGATACAAGTCGAAAGTGATCTAGTATAGATGGTACTTTTGTTGGGCCCCATGAGATGCACCACAAAGAACTTAATAGTTTGTAGGAGGGATGGAATACTGCCCGGGTGTCTTGACAGAAACAGGTGACTGTTTTAAGACTGGCTAGACAACCCTTACGAGGCTGTGACTTGTAGTGTGATTCACATGTTTGTGGAGAAGCGTCAGGAGCTGAGTTCCCATAGTGTTTGGTGATCAAAACACCTTCATAAGCCGTTCAACTTGTTTGGATTCTGGAGCCCATGTACACCACATAGGTTGGTAATCAGGGTTTTCCTACTCCCCTCCCTAGGCAGACCTCTGCACGTCCACCAGCAGTCTGCTTGTAAGCGTCAGATGCTTGCAGTTTCCCTATACCGCGCCCAGTGAATACAGTCAATAGGAATTAGCTGGCGAAGGTGATGATTGTTTGGCCACATGAGACATAGAGAGAGCATTTTTGATTGCACACTAGTGTGTAATCAAAAATATCCATTACAGTCCTACAGGAGGTCAGTCGCCAGCCTGAATAGCTCAGTCGTAACGTCTCTGACTGCAGCACTGGGTGACGCGGGTTCGAATCTCAGAAGAGACATCAGTTCCTTCAAGGTTGCAGATACGCCTTGCTGATGAGTGCCAACTAGCACGAGACCTAGGTCCAAGGCTTCCTGCCGATTGCCTTCAACCATCTAATACATAGAGAAAGCCTTTCAAGAGAGAGACCTAAGTCTACGCACCCTCGGTCGTACGAGATCGCTCATGTGGTTGACAATTTCTTATGGTCAGGCTTTAATATGTACAGTAACAATTTAAACAATATACGTTGTAGAATCAATCAGCCTACAGTGTCCAATTATGTTCTTTCTTTCCCTAGCTGGTTAATTGGTTTCTAACTGCTCTGTCATTTGATATTCGCTTGGATAATTCATGATAGTGCTTACATGAAAGCTTTTCTATTCTGTAATCGCTCTGGTTTCTTTAAAATATCGTTGTTAACTGTGACAATTCTGAATTGATGTACAATAGCTATGCGTGTATATCCACTAATCTGACTGGGATTTATGAAAAGCTCTAATACATGCAATACTGCACGTATCACTGCTGTTAAAACTCAGCTACTTGGAGTAAACATAATTTCTCATGTACCAGACTAAGAGGTTAATTGGTGGGATGGTGACTAGCAGTGGAATCTACCAGGATAACGCGCATTTCGTCCTATTTGGGACTCGTCATCTGGATCTACCTGCATTCCGCAGTTAGTGAGTGATGATGTTCCCACCGAGGCTCTAACCCAGTGCCCATAGTTTGAAACGCCAAAGCGTTATCCACTAGACCACTTGGGTCACGAGAGCCACGTCTCTTGTGCAACTGGTCCTTTTAATTATTTCCCGTCGATTAATTGAACCGAAGTGCTCGGTCTCAGGTTGACATGTCAACTGCTTCTTGTGCAGATGCTTCGACGATGTCTGGGCATGTAATTCGAATTTAGTTGGTGGATGGTGACTAGCAGACTAAGAGCCTGTTTGGAAATGTAGATAAGCGATAACTTAATCAATCCTAAGTTCGAATCCCGCGTCTACTTACACTCACTGTGTTCCTCGTAGTCTGGTACATAGAAAACTTGTTTCAAGTAGCTGAAATCTGATATCCATTACTGTTATTGATTTTTTCTTAGTTTTGAGCCGAAAAATGTTTTGGTGAGTTTGATATAATTTACTGTTGTCAAAAAGTGTACACAAATGATGTATGTATGTGTAAAATTTTGACCGCGGATCGACGATATCAGTCAGGAGAACCACTGAAAAGCAGGATGCACTGGACAGCTGTTTCACCACACACACCAGCACTTCCTTCGGACTCCTCATCAGTACGCACCCGTGACTTCACTTAAAAGAACTGGATCCAGTGGTCTATCAACTTTGAGTTCTACTAGGGATGAATTTGCCTGAAATCCTAGTGACCAACAGAGTCCAACATGTCAGGTGAGAAGAAAGACAGTTGCTGATAACACAAACTAGCGGTTGTGTGATATTTATAACGAGTCGATAAAAGTTAGAATTAGCCATCTGGACATTGGAATTCGTCCCAGTGGTTGAATAGTGTACAATCTCTCCTTGTAACTTGAATGTATTTAGCTCGATTTCAAGTGGTGGGATCATAAATGAGTACTACTGAAGAGTCCCAAACTAGGACGAAACAGCTGTTTAGAACTACCTGCTGGTTTTCAATGGTTCTCTAACCGATATCAGTCACTTCGTAATCAAAACTTTTCATCTTTTAATTTTGTCTTAAATTTGTATATCTTTTGTTTGCTCTCAACCTTCCATGAATCCCAAAAGTATCTCAACCAAGTCATATTCTACAAATCAAACAACCAATCCACTGAACAATAATCAACCTGTACAATCATATACATCGTCAACTGGTTATTCTTCTATGTCTAATGATATTATTATACCGCCAACAAAATCATTTGTACATCAGCGTATTTCACAATTCACAAATGATTATCAGGACTTTGATCCTCCTAAGTTGTCGACAACGACGTTAGCAGTCACAACAACTACAACATCTGTACAAAAGTCAACCTATCTATCATCTTCTTCATATTCTGGTGTAAATATGTCATATCCGGATAGCAGACATGTTAATGGAGTTTATCCAATGGGCAAGGAATCTTCAAATCCTCTGGTAAGTTATTTGCCTTTTCATATATGCTTTTCATAAGTGTATCAGGGCATAAGTGACACCTCATTTCAGCGATGCTTGGTAATACCATAAAGAATCAACAAAAGCATATAGTGTGATTATTGATTTTGTTCCGTGGGATTTAGTATGCACCCACGATGCTTTCATCTTAACTGATTAAAAATGCCCATTAAAATTTTCAAAAGAATTGACACGGAACAAAGAGTACTCTTTTCGATAAATTCATCATCAGGTTCTACAATTATATATACAATATAATGAATGAATGAGTTAGTTTTATGAACGACATTAATGCTGTTTAAATAACATCAAATCAGTAATATTGATAAATTACAGCTGAACAGCATCAACATAAAATAAGCTGAATGTCAGAAGAATTAGGAAAGGTAATAGTACAAATTCATGGGTTTATAATCTCTACTGAGGGCCAGGGCAGTAGTAGGGGCTGTACTTGTTTTTTTGGACACAGAGCACTGGTTGTTTGAGGCGAATTATAATAGCCTCTGCTGTTTGGAGTATGCGGTGCTTCGAAGATTTTGGTAGTTTGTTAGGCACCCGGTATGTTATAGAGAAGGATTCTTCTACGCTGGCTTTGTGACCGGTTTGCACCAGATGGTCTAAAATCGAGCTGTTAATAGTTTTAACTACACCTTTACTTAACCATAGTGGGATATGTTCTCGAGCACGAAAAATCAAGTTCCTAGAGCAACGGCCAACATAACTCGCTCCACAAGCGCAGTTGAATTGATAAATACAATTTGAAGTGGCTAGCTAGTCTAGGTACTTCATCTTTCAGTCGAGGTAGCACCATCGGTCGTGTAGAGAATAATACATGTAGTTCGCCAGCATTAGAAGTTCTTCGAACTGATTTTCCTAATTTCTTCGTAACTAACTTGCTTGGTATATCGCCCATGAATTGTAGTTGTATATAAAATGGCTTCTTGTTTGCAGATAGTGGGTAGTCCTTTTCGGCCTTCTTTGTCATATGTTTCTTCATAAATTTTTCGGGATAGCTATTTTCGATCAAGGTATCATATACAATGCTTAATTCATCTTCAATTACTTCTTCAGAGCATACAGCTCTAACTCTGTGGCTAAGGATCTTCACTAAATTCCTTTTGTAATTGATGGGAACGAAGCTATGAAAGTGTGTATATTGTCCCGTCCAAGTACTTTTTCTATGTAAATTTCTTTTTATGCTACCGTCTGGTTTTCTTGTAAGTAGGACATCCAGGAAGGCAATTATGTCTCTCATCGTAAATGAAATGCTTGAGGTAATAAGTCATGAGGCTTTAATAGGTAAAGTTTTTAAGTGAACCGACAAATCTAGATACGGCAAAGTTAAACTTTAAGCACTACTAATTAGCTTCCAGTCAACGAATGACTTTGGACACACCAATCATGTGAAGGAGGCATTTTTGTGTGTGGAATGCATATGTTTACAAAAAAGATGCTTGAAAACTGGAGAAATGTGTTACAGGGGATACCTCCCTCTCAAATGTGACAAAAACAGATCTCAGTTTTAGGTTGGAGTGCCAACGGGGTATAATTCCGTTGTGGGTAAAATTTATTTTGTTAAAGTCTCACATTTTGTTACACAGTAATATTTACTAAGCAATAAATTGTGCTCGAAACGTGATCATCAGTAAATATTACTGTATAACACCACTGTGAGACTTTATCAAAATAAATGCTACCCACAATGGAATTATACTCTACCACTGCAGTGCACAAGTTCTATTCTTATTACAACAGAGTAATTTAACCACATTCTATGCATCTAATTATTCAGGTCTTTTAACCCTAATCTCTCCTGAACCGAACCCTAACTGTAATCTAACTCGAACCAACCCTAGTGTCGCCTTTATTAGATTAACCTAACCCTGACTTGTCCTTGGCTTAACGCGTTACTTAATCTTTCGCAAACCTAAGCTGAAAATTGCCAGATATCTCATGTGCGTCGGTGGCACAGTGGTTAGGATTCTCACCAACCATGCACATGGTCCGGGGTTCGATCCCCTGCCGACGCACACCCGATATCTATGGTCGGCCTGCAAAATTTGGGCTACCGATATCCATGCTGAAAATTCCATACTTGTACTGAAAATACGGTGTGGCGTCAAACTGTAATCAAAAGCAAAAATAAATAAAATAAAAATTAATAAACTAACACTTCGGTGAGTATACTTTATTGATGATAACAGTATTGTTTGCCAGGTTTCACTAACTTGCTCAGTGAGCGTTTCAAGGTCATTGGTGCGGTCGCACTCCATCGGTAGTTAGTTAGTGGTGCTTAAAGTTCAACTTGGCCCTAGATGCTAAGCTTTTATTCGGAGTCTAAGATTAATCGTATATCAATAAATATACAGCGTATTAGACGCTTAAGAAGCACATTATCATAGTTTCTCTTCATTCCAGTATAAAAAGGTGTTAGTTAAATGCTTATTTGGACGCATTCAACATATATTAATGAAGGTCAGTCGCGAACCCGAATAGCTCATTGATAAAGTCCCTGACTGCAGGCGGAACTGGGTGACACCTGTTTGTATCTCAGAAGAGACACGAGTTACTTCACGGTTGCAGATCCGCTTTGCTGACTGGTGACTAACAACTAGCATGAAACCTAGGTTAAGCAGGGCTTCCTGCGGATTGCCTCCAGCCATCGAATATCATTAATTCAAAGTGTACCGTGATGCGCGAGCCACCTAGCTTGATGATGGTCATATTGTAAACTTGACTGATAGAATTCAGTCCGCACCGACGCCAAGGACTAGACACATTACACCAGTTACTAACACTAGTGTCCAATGAAAGTGCAAGACCTTGGATAATAACTATCCTCATGAAATTCATTAAACGCTACAGAAGCATCCAATAAAGGACTGCATCAATCCAACTAACTGTCAGAAAAATAAATTCAGCAGACACGAATATATTGAGTCATAAGAAAGAGAAGACGTAACACGAAAAATTCTTTCGACGATATTTCAGAACTGCTGCTACAATCGTAATCATATTACATATAACCAATCAGATACTGGTAAAGTTTTTCGTCGAAAAATGTATTACATAATGTAAGGTGTAGTCTAGAAGGGATGACTAACTGGAAGTTAGAAAAGAGGCAGAAGTTGGCATGACGTAATCAGTGTGAGATAATGACTAATCAATAAGCTCGTGTAGAATGGACTTGTGGAAAGGCGATAAAGTGTTTTTATATAAAATCTGTATGAAAACTCAATGTTATTAATAAACAGTAATAGAGTGGTAATAAAATATGGATGATGGGAATAATAATGATAATAAAAGTATTAACAATAATAATAATAATAGTGAACTTACATAATAAAAAAAAGAAGCAAAATTATAGTAAGAACTTTACTCTGGCCACGGTAGGGTGAGTGAATGTATGTATCGCTTTTGAATGCAGAGATCCAGTTTCAGATCTCGAATAGCTAATGTTTCAGCTATGTACAGATGGCGTATGCGAAATCCCTTTGTAAGATACTGAGGGACTCTGTGTAGCACTGTGAAGCATTCATGCGGTTGGAGAGGGGTGCTCGATGTCCGGAGATGACAAGGTGTTCGAGGTTGGAGCTGCTGCTATTCTTCTTTTCTCCTCTGGCTAGCTAGCCAAGCTGGACAGTGATCTAGAATACGTTTGTAGACTTGACGTTGCGTACGACCGATATACTTTACTCCACACGAGCAAGTAAATTGATAAATACACACTGAAGTGGCCAAAGTCGGTATCTTATCCTTAACGTTAGACTGGATTAACTGTCTGCTGGAGAATGTGATACGTAAGGTGGCTGTTGGAAATGTCTTCTTCAGACATTTAGAAAGGCAGTTTCTGTCCTGTAAACCCTCACAATATCGAACGATAGTATCACATCCGACTGTATTTACTAATATGTGGTGACACATACATAGGGGTACGCCGTCGATCTCTCTAAGTCAAGGCTGTTGAACGCATTCCTAGGTGGCTTCAAGAACAGATAGAATCACCTGGTTCAATTAATCTTGGAAATGGATGTCCAACGTCGTCTGTAACTAAGTACATCGTAGAGACACGTTATCAAGTTCATTTCAGTAATTCTTTTAAACCTGTATGTATATTTAAAATAGGCTTGAGTTATATACATATAGATAAAGCAATAAGAAGACGTAATTTGTCTGAATCGTGTAATGTTGTGTCTGCGCAACACATTTCGAACAGTCTGATCCATCACACACGGACTTGTCATAGGAATATATATGTAATTAATAAAGGGGTAAGAGGTGAGACTACTGAGGTTGAGTTAAAAGGATATATTCAAGGTCAAAATAACAATGAAGACCACTAAACCAAATAGCAGAGTTAATAGTACATCTGCTATGGTATCAAAACAAAATTTACCAAGGAAGGTTTAATGTGATGACGAATTGTTGCTTTGAACGCATAAAGGTGGTTTAAACTTTCTAATTGCTAGAGGTTCCACAAACTTTAGAATATGCCCCAAACACGTTTTGTAGATATCTTTAAAAGATCTGTTAACGTCAATTTTATGTCCTGTCTCTATAATATGCCTCGCAATAGAAGAGATAGGTCTCCTGTTCTCACCGTTAATAGGTTTTAAAGATTCCATTTGTTTCTGGAGCCATTTAGGAATATGCTCTGAAACCAGCCCTTACTTGCAGAGATCGATGAGTCCTCCCTCCTATATATGTGTGTCCACACGTACATTCAAATTGGTAAATACAGTGGGATGTGACGTCATTTTTCGCATGTTCGAAGGGCTTAGATGGATGGATATATTGGCTTCACATTCTCAATTATTATGATATTAGCTGCATAAAATGTCTTTTTAACCACATCAGCGTCCAGTCTTTGTCTAGTTATCAAGCTGCCTGCTATGATGCCCCATATAGGGTAGCTTGCTGTACACGTCTTTCTTAGGGGCGAATTGGAGAGTGGGTCTTGGTGTTCTGACTACTTTATATCTCCTGATGAACTTGTCTGGATAATTGTTATCAACCAGAGCTTGTGTCAACTTTCTTTTTTCCTCATCAATTGGATCTTCGATGCATATTCGTTGGATTCTACTGAAGAGGCACCTCGCTCACTAAGGCTGTTTTGTACCGAACAGGGCAGAAACTGTGGTAATTAACATGCTGTCCTATTCAGGTAGGCTTTCTATAAATAGATCTTTTTATTGACCCATCAAGCCGTCGACTAAGGAAAATATATCTAGGAAAGATAAACAATTATCTTTCTCTTCCACAGACAGATGTAAGTGATATGCTATTCTGAACTTCATTCATTCGATTTAAAATTGAGGTGGCAGAACAAGGCGCTTATCACTTATGATTACAATGTCGTCAACATACCTTCTATAAAGTGGCACATTTTCGATTAAATCCTCCGATAAATTTTCAATGTACGACATATAAATATCTGCTAAAAGGGGCCCTAACGGACTTCCCATAGCAACACCATCAACAGTATATATACATATACTTAAGTTTGTTGATACCTTAGGCATGAAAACGGTTAAATCTGTCTTTTACGTTTAAAAATTACTTGTCATCGTTATGAACCTACCGTGATAATCCTACTTTCGAAACACTGTTCCGTCGCCTTCTGTTTTTTTTCCTTCCTCTGATGTGTGATCATGACTCGTAAAAATCTTGATCGAGACAGATAGAAACTGGTGATCGTTTTATGCTCTGTTTCATTTTATATAAATGTATATGACAAGTACGTGTGTGATTAGAATGTCTGAAATGTTTTTTGCGCAAGTACACATGACACGTTTCAGATAAATCACGTTTTCTTTTCATTTTGTTGAAGTTAAGTAATTGAGTTTACTGACCCTGCAGTATTATTTATTAACTTAATTAACAATCTAATTCATTATGTTTTGTAAAAGTCTATTGATCGGCTGATCGACAGAATTTTGAACAGATCTAAGACTAAACGAATTACATCATTTACAATCTAGCGACTAGTCTTGGTAGATGATATAATTCTACAAGTGGTCTGTTATTTGATTCTGAAATATCTTCGTGGTTATTCATTGGTGAGAGTTTCAGTTCATGAAAAGAAACTGCGGTCTCTGAAATGTTTTAAGTGCTGGTTTACAAGGATTTGATTTGTTAATGGAATACTGGACCGTACTGTTTCGTCCTATTTTGTGACCCTTCAGTAGAACGCATTCACCGGGGTTCGAAATTAGAACCTTCCTGTTACAAGGCGAGTTCATAGATGATTCAGTCATTTCTGTGTTATGCTGAGGAGTTCCAAACTAGGACAAAACAGCTGTCCAGTATTTCCCAGTTTTACAATGAGTCTCTAAAATTGCTGATCTGTCCCAGAAGACAGAAACTGACCCGTTAATTGACTGTGAACATGTATTAAGCTAAACTGAACTACAGCACTGTACATTTAGCTTAATTACCGCAATTTAAAATTTCACCACAAGACTTCAGACGGCTCTCAGAATCTAGCAGAGCAATCACTTATCATCTGATGATCTTTTTGAAATGCAAAAGTCGACAGAAAACAGTTATCTGTAAAAGTTGTTTTTTGGTTAGTCTTATCTAGCAAGAGATTCCAGAATGCGCGTTTCGCCGCATCTGGGACTCGTCATCTGGATACACTTTCTTCCCCAATGAGTAATCACATTCCCACTAAGACTCAGATCTAGCATTGATCATTTCAAATCTCTAAGTTTTATTCATTAGGTTTGAGTTTCATTAGGAGTACCATCCATTCACTAGAGACGCAGGATTCATCCGGATGAGGAGTCCAAAGTGGGACGAAACTCCCACCTTGAATTGTAATGTTATCTACTACCAAATGAAATAACATCATGTGAATCTCTCAAGGTATCATCCAGACGTCAATATTAGAAGCTGACTTAACAGTATAGACTAAACACTTGGGGCCCAAATAAAAATTAATCTTTGAGAAGCTAAAATTAACAACTTCTATCTTTTATAATTTCGCTAAGTTAAGCATCTTTTCATAACTTTTGTATCTTTCACTGTCCACAGTTGAGTCAAGAAGCTCACAACGCACAAACCTATTCCAAGCCTATAAATACTCCATCATATATGCCTTCACCGCCTCCTGTACCAACAGCAGAATACCCACAATATCATCCTCCCGAGCGATTGGAACCAGTTCACTGGTCAACCTATAAACATTGTTCGTCGAATGAAGAAAGAACTAGCAATTATAATATTAATAATAGTAATAGTAATATTAATGAAAAGTCTTCAAGGAATTTTATGTCCCCACAGGTGAGTTCAACTTTTATCAATTTTATTCAGTGTGTGTGTGTGTGTGTAGTAATTATAATTTCACCGCCTACATCTACATGAATCGTAGTATTAAATTTTGTCGCCGTCGACACCGATTATACTTGTCATCTAGGTTGGCTAATAATATACATGATAGTATCACATTTTTAGGGTCACCGGGAATTGGAGCAACCACTTGAACGCACCGATGCTTCATGTTCCCAGTGGAACATAGGGCTTCAAGCTAGAGGCGTGAAGCTTCTGTAGCAGTGATGATTAAGTTTACAGGATGAGGTTGCTCCTCAGCGAGTGTCCTATCCATCTCCACTTTCTCCTGTATATTTGTTGGGCGATTGATTCCTGTTTTGTTTGTTCCCATAGTTTCTTGTTGGTGATTCTTTTCGGCCATCTGATCTTCTGCATAAAACGAAGACAGTTGTTGATAAAGGTGTGCAACAGGCTGTTGGAAATATTCTTTGTGACCCGTCAAGTTTCTGATCCGTATAGCAAAACTGACTTGACGTTTGTATTGAAAATCTGAATTTTGTTGATGTTGAGTGACGAAGATTTCCAGATTGGTTTCAGGTTGATGAATGTGTTTCTAGCCTTCCCGACCTTCGATCTGACATCTTCGTCCGTTCCTCCTGTAGTTGAGACAATGCTCCCTAGATAAGTGAATGAAGTAACCTCTTACAATGTGCTTATTGAGCTAACTGACATGTTGAATTATTGATTATAGGGAAAATTCTGACTGACAGCTTTCAATAAACATAGCATGTATGTCATCTGGTGATTGATAACGGAAATCTATACGAGTTTAGCGGCTACGTGGAAAGCTAAGTAGTAATTTTCTCAATTTCTTCAATAAATCCTTGAATGTTTGGTTACACTCCATTGATGAATAAGAAAATGGACCAAAATCCGTGGTAAGCAACGAGATCTACTGACCAATCGATAAAATAGTAGTAATAGATTTATTCCACACGAAATTTTAAAATATAGTACAGAATTACAGGATTTCATCATGAGGTGACATTAGTTAGAGAACCATTGGAAAACCTGGGCCATTGGATCGGGTCCCAGTGGCTTAATGGTATACGAGCTTGCCTTGTAACCAGAAGGTCCTGGGTTCGAGTCCCGGTGGGTGCGTACTACTGAAGAGTCCAAAACTAGACTGACGAAACAGCTGTCCAGTACTTCCTGTTGGTTTTCCAATGGTTCTCTAACTAATATCACCTCATGATGAAATCCTGTAACCAATCAAATCCCTACAAACCAACACTTGAATAGTACAGAATTCTTTGGGTATTGAACCTAACATTAGTCCACGATCCCGATAACTTCTGTTAAATTTCATCATAGATGTACTAATGAACTTAACCCTAACTCACTTCAGAGACTCAGGGATTGACTAGTTAGTTACCAGGGAATAATCTTGTTGACTAAGAGTGTGCAGATGATATAGTCCTCCCTCCTAGGTGAAGACGCTGAAAAACTGCAGCAGAGTCTTCTGAACACCTTGAGCTGAGCAGCAATCTTCGAAAGTTTAGCATGCGATTCGCTCCCATCAGATATAAGATGGTGCTACAGGACTGGATTACATCAACTCAATCATAGATTAAAAATAGGAGGTGAAGTGGTGGAGCGTGTTGACCATTTCACTTATTTAGGAAGTTGCATCAGCCAGTGCCAACGGTTTGATCACTGAATAAATCTTAGAACGGATACAGAAGGCTCATGTGGCATTTGCCTGCCAACTTACGACATCTCCAGCTTAGTAGACGTAATATCCGGATAGGTGACGAGAAAAGAGCGTGTGTACTGCTCGACAGTTTTCTCTGTTCTCGCTTATGGCTGGTTGTGAGACATGGCCACCGAAAGTGAAAGACATGAAAAGGCCGGCTAGCTAGCTGTGTTTGATCATAGGTGTCTGAGTTCTATCTCCTGTGTGTGCTAAGTGGTATAACATTGTGAGTAAGATTGAGGTGAGGCATCTGTTGAGTGAGTGCTAGGTAAGGAGGAGGGGAATCAATCGACGAGGTTGTGAAGCAGATGCATCGATTGAGATGGTTAGGAGATATGTTACGCATGTATGTCTAGCCATCCATCTCCTTCCGCGATTGTCAGTGTTAGCTGACATAGGATGGATGGATCAGGTTGGAAAAGAGCCAGCTAGTGGTGGTCAAACCAAAACATGGCTTCATCAGTCAATGAAATCCACAACAGTTAGTTTAAGCCAAGTAGGGAGGTGTAAACTTCCTGCCTGTCTGGTTGGGGTCCTCGGGATGACAAGAACCAATGGCCGGAGATAATTGATGTTATGGCTGGCTCAAAATCGTTCTCAGTGATGACGCAGATACATTCATTCTTTGTGATTTATAATATCCAATCGAACTCTATTGTTCTTCCATATTACTACCATTCTTTTTCCCTTACTCACACTTCTGTTTATTATCTGTCTCTCTCGCTTTTGAATCTCTGTTTACTCTGTTCTCTTGCTTTGTGTCATACATGGAGGGCGACTCTTCATCAGTACACAACCATGATCCCCCCACTAGCGATCGAACCGAATGTCCATGAATTCCATCCGAGTGGCTGAATGGTCAACGAGCTTGCCTAACGACCTCGCTGTTCTGGGTTCAGTCCCCAGCGATGGGGTCATGGGTGGGAACTGCTACTGAAGAGTCCCAAACTAGGACGATACAGCTATATCCAGTACTCCCTGCTGTTTTCCAATGCTTCTTTAACTGATTTCAGTCCATCGTCAAACTGACACTCGAAAATGCATCTTCATGGATGGAAGCGGGTTGCCAGTTTATTTTTCTCTCTCAATGACGAAATATATTTTCTCTATAATCATGTATATATTTAACCATTTTCTTTATTTAGCCCTCTTCAACCAATCTACCATCCTCGAGACTACCATTCGAACAGCCAATAATGAATAAACCTGATTCAGACAATAATTATCAACCTTCCTTATCAAAATACTCGAACAGACCGATTGTACACGCGTCTTCATCACCTACAGGTGTTGGCGGCTCGGCTGCAAGTCGTGTTCTAGCTCTCCAATCAGAAATTGCAGAATTAGAAGCACAACAACGTGTAGACAGTCGATTGGATTTAGGTCCAACATTGGATAGATTACATGTGGAGTTACAATTTCAAAAACGTTTGGCAGAACGTGAATCCAACTGTAAACTTTCGCTGAATAATACTTCTCGTACAAGTCCAGCAGTGGTAGCGAATGATACGAAAACTTATAGTTTGCCTGAAAAGTCAAATACACTGGTAAGTCAAACATTCTTTTACCTTTTTTTCAAGCGCTGGTTTATACGAACGAATTGATATCAATTAGAGATATGAGTGAAAACTACAGGAGAGTATTAAACAGCTAGCTGTTTCTTCCCACACTGAGGCTCTTCATCAGTACTCAGCCTTCCCTCACCAGTAGGGAAAGAGTCCAGGACTTTCAGGTCATTAGGCGGATCCGTTGGCCATTGAGTCACAGGGATGGAATCCTAACTCCTGTCGATTCACGATATAAAGCGCGACTGACAATTATTGCCGATTATCTGTCCTCACAATCTTTTTGGTGGCTCCCACTGGTCACAGTTCCTTACCAGAACTTCAGAAATTCCACCTCGTAGTCAGACATCAGTGAGCGCCAGATTAATTATCAAGCATCAGTTTGAGTGAATTTTGTCGGTTTCAAGTTTGATCAGAAACTTCTGAAGAGTACCTATCTGGGACGAAACATTCATCTATTTCTCCTCATCTTTCTGTAGTTCTCTAAATGATGTCACTTCGTGGTCAGATATATGTAAACGTAGTGTGAATTTGAGTGTAACTGGCTCCATTTTATATGTATTTTCTCTGGTTTATGTCTGACAAAGACATTTAGTTTGGAGTAGTCAGAAAGAGGGACGTAACTGTCAGTGAAACAGTTGGATCATCAACGTATTTAATGAAGTTGATAATCGTTGCAAAATAGATGGTTTTTGTAGTCTAAGTGGCCTGGCGAATAACACTGTGGAGCCTGAAACGATGATTGTCGGTTTCGAAGCTCACTGGGGATTGCAGGTATATCAAGCCGAAGAGTCTGAAAAAAGGACGAAATGCTCACTTAGTTTCATTGCTGGCTACCATCAACTAAAATAACTTCATATAAAATTCAGTTTTGACGACAGACTGATATCCATTAGGATAACAATGAAAATAGTGGAACACTGGACAGCTGTTTTCACCCATGACCCCACCACCAGGACTTTCAAGTTATCAGGGGAACCTGGGACGCATCGGCAGTACGCACCCATACTGCGGGGTTCGAACCCAGGACCTTCCAGTTACACTGCGAGCTCGTAGAACATTCAACCACTGGGACCCGACTCCTCAATCGCCAGCCCATGAATTCTAACTTCTACCAATTCGTGATGCATTTAGCGTGACCGCTAACCAATGTCTTCGGCGGTAACTCCATCTTCACTCCCAACGGGATGGAGCTCACTGGTTACAGCTTGTCACTAGAATTCCAGGAAACTCCATCCTGTAGCAAGTCACTAGGGAGTATCAGATTAATTTTCTATAGTTGGTTTGTAAGTTTTAGATTTGTTTTTACGTGTTTGACCACGGATTGGTATCAATCAGAGAACCATTGGAAACCATCAGGGGGTAATAAACGGCTGTTCCATCCTAGTTTGGGACACATCGGTAGTACGCACCCACACTGCGGGGTTCGAACCCAGAACCTTCCGGTTACAATTTTTAATTCTACCGATTCACCAGTCAGTATTATCGGTATGTACCTGTCATCATCCCTAGTTTGTCAGGCCTCAGTTTTCACCAATTCTCACTAGGATTTCTAACATCTTCATCCTTTGATGGGTCACTGAACTCAATCTGTCACCAAAAATTAAAATCAATCAATAGATAAAAATTCATCAAAAATTATTTCAACTTGTAGAAAGGATGACGTAATGAGTGTATAACTTTGCAAAAGGTTATCTATCTTCTTAAAATCAATAAACAACTAGTCGGGTGTGTGTGGGTGTGAAGGCAGACAAACAAAATGTAGACTCACGCACAAACAAACCCAAAATTATCGCCACTTGTTACGTAATCGGTGTAAAAGTGGTGAGATTTAAAAAGGCCAAGATGTAAAGTGAGTACAAATCAAGAGTTCAGGTTAAAGATGTGATAATGAAAAAATAAAAACATATAATGAGTGGTTATCACTGGAGAAAAACAGAAAACAAATTAGTGAGCAGTAATCATCTCACATGAAGAAACAAAGATAATGAATTTTTGAAAAAATAATGTCTATTCTTATTCTATTCCACTTATCTATGAATCAATATTTTATATGAATAGTGCAATGGTGAATGCTCACTAATCAAAATAAACTGTCCATTTTGATGAAACTGTGAATTAGCTATAATGAAGGTTATTCAGTACTCTTGCCTTTTGCCACGTTGAAGAAGATTATGCTGGATTAGGTTTATCATTATTATTATCATCATTATTTCATGTTCGACCACGGATTGATATCAGTTAGAGAACCATTGAAAACCAGCACTGGAGTACTGGACAGCCAGCTGTTTCATCCCCCTAGTTTAGGACTCATCGGCACTACGCACCCACCACAGAGGGGGTTCCAACCCAGGACCTTCCAGTTACAAGGCGAGCTAGCTTGTATACCACTCAGCCACTGGGACCCGATTCAATGGTCCATGAGAAGTCGTGACCAGTGAGGTCCATCCAGTCACGTGTGAGGATAGAGTTCCTGTCGGTGATATTGGTTGGTGGTCGCGCTAAATTCATCACGAATTGGTAGAAGTTAGAATTCATGGGCTGGCCATTGAGGAGTCGGGTCCCAGTGGCTGAATGTCCTACGAGCTAACTCGCCTTGTAACCGATAGATCCTGAGTTCGGACCCTGGCGTTGGGTGCGTACTGCCGGTGATTCCCAGACTAGGATGTAACAGCTCTGCGGTGCTGCAGTGCAGAAAGATAAACTGTTACATAACTTTTCAAGTGTTGGTTTGTAGGGATTTGATTGGTTACAGGATTTCATCATGAAGTGACATTAGTTAGAGAACCATTGGAAAACCAACTGGGAGTACTGGACAGCTGTTTCGCCAGCCTAGTTTGGGACTCTTAAGCAGTGCGCACCCACCCCAGGACCTTCTGGTTACAAGGCGAGCTCGTATACCATTAAACCACTGGTCCGAGGTAGGTAGTTATGTGGGGTTCTAGTGAGAAGTCGTGACCAGTAGGGTGTAGCAGGTCGGGTGTGAGGACAAATACTCGCCGAAGACATTGGCTAGGGGTTGCGCTATGTCGTGAATTGGCAGAAGTTAGAATTCACGCACTGGCCATTGGATCGGGTCCCAGTGGCTTAATGGTATACGAGCTCGCCTTGTAACCAGAAGGTTCTGGGGTGGGTGCGCACTGATGAAGAGCCCCAAACTAGGACGAAACAGTTGTCCAGTACTCCCAGTTGGTTTTCCAATGGTTCTCTAACTAATGTCAGCTCATGATGAAAAATCATGTTACATAACTCATGAATAATCCCTCTCCAGACAGTAAGAAAAAGAACAAAACACGTAGTTCAACGTAGAGGCTCTTATCGGCGAATTCATTTTTTCTCTAGATGTACAATAGCATCGTAACAAAGCTTACAAACTGTCGCCAACACAGTTATTAATAATATTCAAGTTTTGATTTGTAGGGATTCGATTTGATTGGTTACAGGATTTCATCATAACTGTTTCGTCATAGTTTTAGACTCTTCATCAGTACGCACCCACCGCTAGGGTTCGAACCCAGGACCTTCTGATTACAAGGTGAACGGTCAATATTATTACAATATAATATTAGTCGAAGTTGTACAGTTATAACACTGATTTGATTATGAATAATAAATTGTGTTTTGGAAACATCGTCATTCAGTAGATGATACTGTTTCACTGTGCGCGAAATATCATACATATAGAAAATCAAAACAAGTGGGGATTCAGCGAAGAGACTCTTTTCAACAATGAATTTATCATCAAGCTGTACAATCGTATATCTAAACATGGTTTTTAAGAAGTTATATCCGGTGAGGGAATTGAATCATAGGTGTGAATGCATGAAATAATAATTATAATAATATGAAATGCAATTAAAACTAAAATGTTTGTGATTATAATCATAGTTAAATGTCGAGTGGCAAAGCAAATTAATGTCATATATAGAATAATTCATAGGATGGATAGAACTTGAAAAAGGGTGTGCAATTATAAGATTAGTAGACAAATCGAATAAAATAAAAACGTTACGTAATATTGTATGAAATTTAATAGCATAGAAGGTAACGTTATAAAACAGAATTGATTTAGAATGACAAGTGGAATAAGTGAAATAATACCGGGGACAATTAAAAGTGAGAGTAGTAATAGTAATAGGGAAGAGTATACAAATTGAATAGACAAAAATGAAAAAATGATGAAAAATTGGTAGAGCTAAAATATGATTGGGGATTACCATACTTTAGCATAAGAGGGATTAAGACCATGAAAGTTGGAGGGGTTGAACGAACTTTTATTGTACACAGAGATTTGGCTTTTCTGTTTCGATAGCCAAAGCTTCAGCAATACAGATGAGTCGGGTACGTAGGGATTTGGGTAAATTACTTTTTGCCTTGTAAATGACGGAGGCTATGGAGATAGGGTGATCATTATCGACCAGATGTTCAATGATCGCGCTTCTTATTGCTCCACTTCCACCTCTTCGTAACCATGCAGGATAGTGTTCTTGCACCCTCTTGGACAAAACTCGACTCAAACGACCCGTAAACCTGGCTCCATATGAGTAGGTGAGTTGATAAACACACAGAGTTGGTCAACAGCGGGATCTTGTCCTTCAGGTTATTGAACAGTAATGGTCGTCTAGTAAAGGCTATTCTCATAGATGTAGCAGGGAATATTCTTTTCAGGGACTGTGATATCCTTCGTTTCATGAAATCGGGGTCACGCTAAAATCACGAATTGGTAGAAGTTAGAATTCATGAGCCATTGAATCGGGTCCCAGTGGCTGAATGGTATACGAGCTTGCCTTGTAACCGGAAGGTCCTGGGTTCGAATCCCAGTGGGTGCGTACTGCCGATGATTCCCAAACTAGGATGAAACAGCAGCTGTCCAGTACTCCCTGGTTTTCAATGGTTCTCGAACTGATATCAGTCCGTGATCAACTCGTAAAACATAACTAATCCTTACAAACCAAACTACAGAAAATTATTCTGATGCTCAC